TTTCTTTACAAGAATCTAGAGCAGCAAACGAAATTTTGTCTAGAATGAATATTACATCACTTTCTACAGGCCAATCAGCTGCAATAATTGACTTCTCTGGTGGCAGAAATCAGTATATATTTCAGGTATGTGTCTAATAATAATAATTAATTAATCAGGAAAATCTGAAAACAGATGACTTTTCTGGGTTCTTGTAGCCAACAATGTGTCATATTTTCAAAAACATTAAAGTAGGCCTCTAAAGTTTTACTTTTGTATGACTGAAAAATGAACTCAAAAATTCTAAGTGAAGGACAGAGATTAAAAATGTTTGTGAATTACGTAAAAACGATACTTTAACTTAGAAAGATTTAAGAAACGAGTTAAAAATGTTGTAAAAAGGTATCTATTTTTAGATTGATTTTATCAAGGATGAACCCAGAAAAACCATAAAGTTTTGATTGAGAAAATTCATGAGAAATGATTTCTTGGGAAATTTGTTTGTAGAGAAGAGAAAAATATAATTGTGAAGTGGATTGAAGTGACTCCAGGTAGGAACTGAAACAAAAAAACTTGTGGCAATCTGAATGAACATCACCTGTCACAGGAAGACTTGCTGATTTACTGATTAACTCATAGTTATTAATTACAGTAGCCATCACCAAATTGCATGATTCAAGACCACAGAAGTACTTCTCCACCCCTCCTCCCATACCATATGGCAATAATCAGCAGTACGGCATTGCTAGCTATGCTGTGGTGTGAGTTGCAAGCTGTCATCACTCGTCTGGGCTCCATTGTTCATGTTTCAACAGTGTACAATTTTGTCATGACCTTGAAGCATGCTTTTTGTGATGGTTACTATAGTATTGATTTTTATAAACTAAGAATAATTTATGAAGTGAAGCTTTCACGGACACTGAAGGTGATGAAATACTCTCGGGCAAAGAGCTGCGTCAGGTGGCTGAACAGTGAACAAACCAAATCTGCCAACCATGTCTGTTCTCATCCTCAGGGTTGCTGGGTAACCAGTCTGTTTCTTTGTTGCGCGCTAGCTGGTGGTAACGGTGGACAGCAGGTAGTAAGGATGTTGCTGGCTTTCAGTCCATTGCTTTCTTTTGTGCTAGCCAATGGGAACTGGCAGTTGAAATCATGTGCTTGTACTAGTTGGCTTAGCCTTCTGGACGGATAGTAGTTTTGTCACAGGATACCGGGTTAGTTGGCAGTTCCCATCAGCTAGCGTGCAACAGAGGAATGGACTGGTTACCCAGCAACCCTGAGGATGAGAACAGATGGTTCTTGAAACGTTGGCAGATTTGGTTTGTTCACTGTTCATACACCTGACTTGGCTTGTAGCTTAAGAGTATTTCATTAAGAGTAATTTGTTTCTGTAACTTAGGTTGAGGCCCCTGTCTCATCACTGGTAGATGCAGTTATGGATGTTTTGAATTATCTTGGGTGGAACTACATTAGTGTTGTGTACTCAACTGAGGATGATGAATTTACAGCAGGATACAGATTGTTCCAGGCTGCTGCTACCAAAAATGGAATCTGCTTGGCACTGGAGGAAGGATTAGCAGCTAACATGAGCACAGTGAGATGACATTTCTAGTATTAATAGGCCTGTACTGATAGTATGGCTGGAGGTACAACATATTAACCCTTTGCCACATTTAATGCAGTGGAAGGTAGTAACAGTAAATGTTCTCTACTGAAAAAATTAATTTGTGTAATAACAGTGAATTTGAATAGTGTGACAATATTAATGGTCTGAACTGGAAGCCATTATTTTAATTTTGTTTGATCTGTACTTTGTCACTTAGTTCTTTGACATTGGCTATAATATGAAACTTCTTTCATTAAACATCAATATGGCGTGGATTTTCTAATTCTTCATTAATTCATAATGGATAGTCTGTTATATACAAATTAATATCATAAGAAATTCCCATAAATCAAGCTTTGGATACTTCATCTAAGAACTAGGAGATGACCTAAGTATTTGAAGATAAGGTAAACTGACAGCAATATTTTATATTTGAATTTACAGAGCATTTATTATTTATGCCAATGCTTGAGATATCAAACATATAGAGATGAGTGTCAATGCTTTTTAAACGTAATCATAAATCTCTAGTTTTGCTAATAATATGCTGTGTTAAGATATAAGGAAATGATATATACTTACAAAAAAGCTTAATTTAGTAATTCTTTAAAGAAATTCCATATTTAGTTTGAAATTTTTCCATGGTTTATGCTTTGAAACAGGGTTTTCACAAATTAGTCATTTCTTTTCTTATTTCTATCATTGTCTCTGGTATATGACACTTTACTACACACTTTAATGAGTCCTATAAATTTATAATGGTGAAAACAATCATAATATGAAGATCATTTATTAAAGAATTGTTTTACAACCTCTTCAGTAATGCATTTAACCTAGAAATCCATAAAATCCTGACAGATCAGCTAAATATCAGCTTGATTTTAGTGTAAAATGAATTCTTTCTTTTCAGAATATTATATAAGGTTTTCAATTTTACAAATTTTCTACAAAAAAGATAATAAATATTCATGTGCTTGTGGCAAGGTAACAGAATATGCAAATGATAGTATTCTTTTTATGTTTTGTATTTCTGTGCAAGCTGAAATCCTTCCGTGGCCCACCTGAAGTCTGTTCATGATGTATCGAAACAATAAATTTAACCATAGTGAGACATTACATGAGCAGTGTAGTGTGGAATTTCAGATTGATCACTTAACCGCCAGTAGCATGTGCTCTGAGCTTGTGAATCGGTTGGTTGGAGCTCGTGCTAGAGGTGCCCGTGCTGTACTGTTATGGACTTACCCTGAGCACACACAAACTCTAATGCAAGCTATTGCTCAGGAAATTTCTCATGGATCCCTACGCAGAGAAGACTTTTTCTGGCTGGTAGCAAGTCCTAATGGACAAACATCACATATTCTTCACAAGTTTGCAAATGCTCTTGGTGGGGCACTCATTTTTAGGTAAGGTGCCATATATGCCAATTTACTGTTCTATTATAAGCTTTATCATTTATAATACTGGTGTCCCAATCCGTAAGTGCGCGGTCTGAGACATCATGCTTCGGACCGGCGATGCAAAATGCGCGCTGGTTCGAGTCTCGGGGGAGAAGAAATTTTCTCATGAGCTTTCGACCAGTGTATGGGACCAGTGCCAACCCAGCATCATGAGGAAATTGGGGAGCTATAATGAGTAGCATAATCCGGTCAGGAAAGCTAGCAATGGCTGGGGGTTCGTCGTGCTGACCACACGTCACCCTATATCTGGTTGGATGATCGTTCACCTCTGCTTAGGCATGTGAACGTGAGGCCAGCAGTCAAGCTAGTCAGCTTTGGCTCTCTGGAGCTGTTACGCCACGGATTTAATTTTAATTTATAATACTGGTGCTTCTGTTTCACCATATCTGTCTTTTATCTTGGACACTTATTGCTAGTCAAATCTAAAACTTCTTGACGATGGTGAAGAGTCAATTGAATAAAAAAATTTCTTGGATATTATCCATCGTCTAGTAAATATAAAACGTAAAACGACGTTTCGGAGACTTTGTCCGGAGATAGGGATTAGCTCTATCTAGTGGGCCCAACTGTGTAGGAACCTGAAGATGGAGATAGAGTCCCATCTCCGAAACGTCATTTTACGTTTTATATTTACTAGACAATGGATAATATCCAAGAAAATTTTTATTCAATTGACTTATTGCTAGTATTTAAAATTGTATTTATAAATAACATGCTGTGCTGAATGTGATAATATTTTATTAACTGCCTGTTCTAGTGTCAACTTCTGTCCCTTAATATTTAGCCTTTGAAATTTCCAGATAGTTCTTGTAAATCTTTGAAAACCATATTGAGCTAAAAACAAATGGCCTTATATACTTGACTTCTAGTTTGTTTCTAAATTACTTCAAGGTAATATTAATAATGTATCCAGAAGATGGCCCACACCAGCATGTGAAGCTTCAGGGGTATGATTAATAAATAGAAAAATATTTACCATTCCAGTAAACTAATTAATAAGTGAATAAGTAAAAAAATAAACTGATAATGAATAATATGTTTCTGAGTTATCATGCAGGATGACACAATATTTACAAGATTAAATGCCAGTTATGAGGTAATTATGTGGGTAGAGTGGCCCATGGATGTATTTACAGTATAGTATTAATAATTGTATGTGAGCTTAGGTTTTTAATTTGTGCTAAAATAATTATTTTTAATTCACTTCTGTCTTATATAGACAGTCAGGATCCCAGTAATCTCCTGTAGCATCTTCAATTTTGCAATTTAACAATACTGGAGAGAGGGGTCTATGTAAACCTTGAAATTTATGTAATATTCTAAATCCTCATTTAGTACATTCCATTTAGTTTCATATATTTTCCTGAGTGTTTAATTTTCTGAAACTTTTAATATATTTTCTTCCCTTGCATTAAGAGACTGGTGGTGCTGCCTGTGTTGGGATTTGACAGGGATCAGGACTCTGAAATGAGGCAGCCAATTTATGTTTTTGTTTTTGGCAGGAATATTATTTTAGTTGCCATGAAGACGTTTCCACATTTAATTTCGTTAATAAATAAACTATATTAATGCACTTTTCACAGTTATTTGCAGAGATAATACTACAATAAATTGTAACACAAAAATTGTTGTTCCTGTTAACATTGACAAGTCATACATTAGTTATGAAAACAACAATTATAGAAAGCTATGCTTATTTATTTTGTCAGAGTTAATACATAAACACAAGTTTGAGTTTAGAAATTTGATACACTTGGTATCATATTATCATTAATTCTGTGCTTATGGATACTGATATACATACTAAAAACAATATTATTGTATAAATTAAATTAGAAAAATAAGAAAGTGACAAACTGGAAGTAATTTATTTTGTTTGGTAAGTAGCTGTATTTTGACATTTTCTCACATCTCATCAGTGCTTGTTTTGGTAAATTATTTTAATCTTCCTGTGTGTTTATACATGTATATGCACATTACTGAACTTTGTACTTCATGTTTGGTTTTAGACCACATCATAGACCAATACGAGAATTTTTGCACCACCTGCAACAAATTCTTCATGGCGCTAAAGTAAGCAAGAATCCTTGGTGGTTCAAATATCAAGAGGTGAGCTAAAGTTTAGTGAGATATAGTTTGTGAAGACATAGTTACATTATCTCAAATTTCATTTCATATAATATTATTTCATTTATTCAAACAATATTCTCTGACTAGTACTTGTAAAATGTTACTAATTTATACATCACTTTCAAAATGACATTTTCAAAATATTCAGTTTAAAGGAGGAGGATAAACCTGGATATTTTACTTGGTAGATGTCTTATACAGCCCACCTTTTGCCATAAGTTAAAACCAGTGCTGAATAAGATTCCTTTGTATTATATAGTGTATTTTATTTTTTTTGTACATGTTTGTGTTATAGGGCATGATGTGTAATGATCCAGAATGCAAAATGTTACTGGAGATGGGGAGTTACCTAGATTCTAACACAGTGCAAGCTGTATACTCTATTGGAACAGCTTTTGCAGCAATGTTCTCTAAACTTTGCAGAAATAGTTCTGCTACTGGTACAGATAGTTCCTGTCTAAACAGATACACCAGGTCAGTATAAAAATAAGTAATAATGACTGCTTTCAATGTTTTGCAAATATAACTAAAGGAATATGTGACCGGGATTCATATTCATTCATCAAATGATCATTGTTCCAATAGTTCTAAACTCCCTGTTATTGTAATGGTTTATGAGTGATTAATTTTTTCTGAGTTCCCTAAATTAAATATTAATTTGATCAACACACTGTTATAATTTATTATATACTTCATTAGTGCTGTGTCAGTTTACGAATCAGTCATGCTTACAGTTGCCTAAACGTCACACTAGGTATAGCTAGTTTCCTTCTTATGTTGTAATAAATGTAAATAAGTGCCTAGGAACATTATTTTTTATTATTATTAATTTGTTCATAAGACACGTTGTTGTGTGAATATGATGAAATAATATATTTCAACAGTTCCAAAACATGATATTTCAGTAATATCTCTTGCTACATGATTTATTATGGGGCTTCTGAAGATTAAAATGAATGTTGGCATTATGTGTAAATTTTTTAATGTGAAACATTCAGTTTCAAAGATATTCATCAGGATTCTACCCATTCCTTCTGCATGAATAAGTACCAAATTGGCCAGAACTTCTCCTCAGGTTACTTGAACCTTATATTTGTTGAATTCTGAAGTGTTCAGCAGCAAGCTGAGAGAAGAAAGTAATTAAATATTTACATTGTACTTTTATTTACAAATTTAATTATAATCTATAAAGTGAAAAATGTGTTTGAATTTATATTTAGTCTTCTGTTGATGATGTTTCAGATAATAATATTAATTAGTTTTAAGAATGCAAGAATTTATAGTGTAACATATCTTATTAGCATAAACATTGTCTCCCTTGAGGGCACGTTCTCAATAAGGGAAATGATCTAGATAGGTTGTCTTGATAGATGATCTAGCTTCGTTACCTGTTTTTTTATATTTCTTTAACATTTTACAATTATATTAGTATTCCCTAGGTGGATTATTTGTTTTTATTTATATTTCATTTATTTTGCTTTGTGTTAATATTGTTTCTATTTTGGGTTTGCCTGTACTTGGCAGTTATATTTAATACTGTACATGTATAAGTTTAGTTAATCTGTTTGTGTCCTATTTTTCATTATTATTTCATTATTATTGTATGTATTATCAGTGTTTGCCTGTTATTGGCTTCTTGCTGTTGGCAAACACGTAAATAAATTAATTGAATTGAATCTTTGGAGACAAAAGTGCTGCATGTTCTTATGATGAAAATTTGACACTGAACTTTTTGTATACAACATATGTTGCTTTTCCTGTGGATGTTAGTAAACTTAATATTTTTGCTGAACCAAGCCTTAAGGAAGCCACATATTACTGTCCATGTGAAAAAGATTTATCTCTTAATTCAGTGAACACTCTTAAAAACTGACCTTCAGCTTTATACTTTATCATAGCAAAATGGGAAGCTGTTAATGTTTAAACTCAAAAGGGTGGTCAGATGATACAATCTGTGTTCTGGGAATAAATATTGTTTCTCCTTTTACATTTTCTGTTAATAACATGACTTTTATTATGCTCTTTAAACATTTAACCTGAAGTCTTGTCCCCCAAAATACAGTTTTGGTGTTATTCTGGGTTCACTCTTAACTGTTATCAGTGATAATACAAAAAACAAAAAGTCAGTCATCTGAAGACACAAGTATAACCAACTCCTGAAATGTACTATATATCAAATATACCTCAGACAGTGGACAGTGAACAACATTGTTTTTCAATAATGAATCATCCATTGTTACATACTTTTAGAGAATCATGTATAAATCATTTGTGTCATTTATCACATTGATCCTGAGAGACAGAGACAGTCTTCAAAACATTGTACTGATATGGTTGATTGTACAAGGATACTTCAGAAACGTTTCTGACCAATTTGTGTTACTTGTTTCATCAGTCTCTGGTGATGAATACATTGAAACACTGGAAATTTGTCTTATTGACACAGCTTATCATATGGAAAATTTTATTTATAGGACAAACAGAGTCCATTGCTTATACTTCTTGGGGTGTTCTGTTTCAGATTGGAATTACAGCAAATATTAAATCAGGAACTACATAAATCTAGTGCCCAGAGAGCTGATGGCTCAGTTATTGAAGACTTCCGATTCACAAGTTCTGGAATGGGAATTGTTCCAGTGGAAATCTTGAATTTGAAACGTAACTTTCAATCTCAGGATCACACGCTAGGAGATGTTTATTTTGAGAGAGTAAGTTTACTAGAATATCTTTGTAGTGGAAGTGCAGGATAGTTCTTTATCCATGCATGACTTCTTGAAATGTCCACTTATGAAGTCTGAAGGTTGACTGGCCAGATTGAGATCTCATTTGTTTTCCTTGGTTACTTCATCTTGGGTAACAACTTAAAACAAGGTCATTCTCAGCCTATTTACACAGGTTTTCAATTCTCTCAGGTTTAGAAAACTGATAAGTAAAATAATCACAACTCAGTAACTTGGTGCCTGCCTACCTCCACTGGTTGACCACTTTGCAATTTTGCAAAACATGTTTCAGACTAATCTATGTCCACAGACTTTATTAAAAGATACAGTTACTCAATACTCCATTCTCTGTCTCTCTGTTTAGCTTACTGAGATAAATTTATGTCTATCATATCAGCTTTCTACAGAGTCATCAACTACTGACATATATCATTAAACAAACTACAGGCCTGACAGAGTGAAAAAAATATAATTTTCAAGTGCTCAGTCTGGCTATGTAAGAGCCATAAAAACATAATACCTTCCTACCATGAATATGTTAATATGTTAATGGTTTTTCAAAGGCTGTCTCATGGTGTTAACTTTTAAAGTTTTATATAGAGTTTCAGATGCCATATCTGGCATCCCAAAATCTTGAAGGACCTAAAATCTGTATTTTTCCCATAAGTTTTTTACAAAAACTTTTCATACGCTTGTCATGTTTAAATCTGGCACTTCACATTTCTTCTACTTACTATGTGTGAGTGGCACCACTCTCAAGTCTTTTTACCGGTAGTAGAAGGCAGCTTGCTTTTTTGCACTTTTTTAGTCACTGAATGGCATAATTTGTAGACTTTTATGCATTTTTAGAAGATTTCAGAAGTATTTAGTTTCTCATGAAAAACAAAATGTGAGTGATTTGTTGCAATATTGACATGTGAAGAAGCAAAATTTCAAAGTGCAAAAAATCCTGAATTTCAAAAAGCCTTGTTTTTCAGGTTTTCTGGATAAGGTGTCCAGTACTGTATATCTAACTCAGCTCCCATTATGACAGTAGGGGCCCACCAGGACTGTTCTATCTTCATCCCATTTTCCTATAACCTCAGATATGTAGTCTATAATAAGTGCCACTGCCATTTTCCATTAATTTCCTAAGGTCTTTCAAGTTATTTAACACTAACATTATGAAGTATGAGAATTTGATTGATTGAACCTTACAGTATTTAATGACTTGTTTGACTGCAGGAGTCATATAACTATAAGTAATATGAAAGGAGGTTGTGAATGGTGTGTAAGTAAATAAATGGAAGAAGTGGTTGTGACCAGTTTAAAAGAACTGTATTGGCATTTATCTGAAGAAACAATTGTTATTGTTGCGAAATGGAAATTTGGCTCCAATGGGCCCATTGTAAAGCACTGAAATGACACATTAGCGAATATAAAGCAGCAGTGGAATGATACTGACATGAGAAAACAAAATCTCTGAGAGAAACCTGCCCCAGACCACTTTATCTATCATAGATCCCACTTGGACTGCCCTGTGCATGAACCCAGGCCTCTTCAATAAGAAGCTGGTGACTAACCACCTGACCTATGGCACAGCCATGATAACAACTTAGTGTGGACATCCAGTAATCTCACCAACATTCAAACTGAGCACATCATGAAGAAAAGTCTCTACAGCACTAATCCTACAGTGGGCTACCCAGAAAAGGAAGATGAGTTGGTCAGTTTTAGTGTTTTTTGGAATTTGTCAGGATAGTTCCGTCAGTATACTGACTAATGGGATGCATGATTGGTTTTATTCCCATTCAGGCCAACACATTTTTCTGTTAGTTGCCACATTCAAACCAACACTGTGGCCCACTCAGCTTTTTGTCCAGTGGTACTGGGGAGTCTTTTCCTGGAGTAAAGTAGGTGGGGCATGAAGCTGACCACTCACTTCCATATACTGCTGGGGTCTTATAACTGCCTGGCATCTCATTCTTACTTAAATTGCCAAAATGAATTTAGGGATACATTTCCTGATTCTCCTGTGCCAAACAAACTGACGGTATCTTATTTAGAGAATTATTTCTTTAACAGGACAGAAACGTTTCCAGTCGACCTTTGGTGTTAAGAGATAGTATGGAAGATACTGTCAAACTTATCTCTCCACAAAAGTCATTGAGAAAACTTTCTCTTTAGAGTGGATTATGGAAGTGTACAAAGATTTCAAAACTGCATCCATATTGCATATGTGTCATGCATGAAGTCAAGGAACCTGATAAGAGAACATGGGTCACTGAATACAGTGGACATTTCGAGCACATAACATAACATTGCTTTTTGATTTCTGATTTCAGTGTAATTTATTATTTAACAATAGAAAATTTATCAGGAAGAAGTTGTGTGACTTTTCTATTATTCTGTAATTACCTGGCCCCTATTGTATGAATTAGAATGTAAACACATCCTTGAATTTTTAACATTTTTTGTTTTAAGTAAATTAACTTAATTTTTTTGAGACCGCAAGGTAGAATCAATTGATTTTAACATCACTATGCATGTGTTCTGCACTTGATTTACAAAGTGACATTTATCTTTAGGTTGGTCACTTTCACAACAGTAAGCTGCAAAGTCTGAAACATGTTCTGGCCTATCGTGATTCAGGGGATGAGGTAAAAGTGACATCACTGTCATCACAGTGTAGTGCTCGTAGCAATTGTCCTCACTGCAGAAGACGCTATGAAAATATATCACTGACTGACTGGGTAACCATGATGAAACCCAGACAAAATACTGAATATGAAACAAGTCAAGATGTTGTGTTATATATAGCAGCAACCCTTAGTATCCATGAAGCCTCACAAAATCCCCTGGAGTGTGGAGGAGAACTGAGTAGGCGAGGCATAGAACAACTAGAAGCATTTCTTTGGGCAATTGATCAGGTAAAGTAAATCACACACACACTAGATATGTATACATATACAGTGGAACCTCGATATACCATGCCTCATTATACCACAAACTCGGATGTACCATGGCTGCGATCGTGTCCCCCCAATACGATTACATGCTTTACATCGTACAGATTTCTATGGAATGTTTTGGTTACATTATAAGACTGTATTGCACCATTCCTTGCTGTGGTGTACGGGTACAGAGCGTATTCATGTATTTCATGTAATTTTAGTCACTGGATAAATATGCATATCAGGGATTCCAAAATTAGATGAATGTCAATTTCACATATAACACAGGTACTGAAGCTGACCCCCTAAACCCACATTATATTGAGGTTCAACTGTATATGGCTTCATGATTTTATGTATTAAGCAATTTAAGGCCTATACATGCCTTATCTCTACTTTTACATGATACTTTTTGTTTAGATAAGATATAGGAAACTTCTCTTTCTCACTGGTATCTTCTTAATTTCTGTCAGTATTTTAGATACCTGAAAGTCAAAACCTTTATTCTCAAATCATTCACGTTCACATTTTCTGACTTGAAGAGCTGTAATACTTAATTGTTTAGGAATGTTTGCTTAAGACTACTTAGTTTCTGCCCCAGCTATTGTCATCTCGATGTAATTGTCACTGAGAGTAAGTTATTTCTGTTAAATATGATATCAGCTTAATAATAAATTCCAGTGACTCACATAAAAATACTAAATGTAGATTGCATGTATTAAAATTCCACAAGTTTCAGTATATTAACAAAAGGCATAACTATCCAGTGAGACTGCATAATGAAAGCTGATATGAATTAAAATACCACACGTGCAATGCCTGAATTTTTGTATATTTTAGAAATCAGATATTCAGATAAGATTGTTAGAGCCTTAATTTGTTGCCCTATCAGTCAACATTTTTAAATACAGTAACCAACTCAGTTTCTAAGATATGGTATTTTTAATGGCAACCTTTTTACCATATTGCATGTGTGTGCTTGTTTGTTTGTTTGTGGGGGGGTTTGATGTGCATGGGGGAGGGGAACATGCTTCCATGGGGCTTGCATGCATTTAGGGGGCTGCGCACTGGGGTGGGCGCAGCGCGGAAATGGCCCGCTCATGCAGTGGGGTGCACCATGTGTATGGGGTTCCACGCATGGTGTGGCGCCCCGCTCATTGTTGGGGTGGCGCTGAGCGCTGGGGGTAGAAGGTGAAGTGAAAGAAGAGATGTGAGAGAGGACGTTCAGCATGTGTAGAGGGTAAAGGAATAAGGGTATCTGGTGTGAACAGTGATATAAACTTTACTAAATGTGGTTCTGGCTGTAACATGGTGCAGTTGGGTCCACACTGAAATGACATCAGAGGTGAGACCACAGTATATTCTCATAGTTGATAGATTAACATCCCTGTATCATGAAGATAGGTGTCATCTGGGTTGTTGCGCCATGTAGTCTGTTATATCTACCAGACTACATGGCACAACAACCCAGAAGACAGCAATCTTCAGACTCACTGTTGTGAAAACCTCAAATCTTACATCTCTGTATCATATTCGGAGAACCAGATTTTAATTCTCAACCTGGAGAGCAGCTAGTCTATGTTTGTTGCTTTCCTCTGCCCTACTAGGCAAATACTTAAAAGCAGGCCATGACCACGTTCTTACATATCCTTTCTAATTCTTTATTTACCATTGTATAACTTGTGTAGTTAAAAAATCATTATTTAATAAATAAAGAAAGAAATAACAAGATAATTTAATGTCTACATTATACAGTATTTTGTATTACCTACTATTTAGGCATTGTTTTCTATTATGTACTTTACTGGAATAAAGTGCACAGAAAATTTTAGTCTGAAAACTAGAAGGAAAGAGACCACTTAGTGAAAATAATATTAAAATGTATCTTAAAGAAGTGGCATATGAGTGTTTGGATTGGATTCAGCTGGGTTATCTTCCAGTGGCAGGCTCGCTCTTGTGAACACAGAAATAAACTTTTGAACGAAATCAAAGGCAGGGAATTTCTTAACCATCTCAAACATAATACTTCATGGATTTAGTTACTTTGATACATCTTATCATAATGTGTTAATTTTTATTTCAGGTGAACCGCAATAACTCTTATCTCTCTTTAGCTGCCATTGCTTTAGACACATGTGGAAGCATCATTAAAACCTCAAGGGATGTTTCAAATCTTCTCAGCTACCAAGAAAGCAATCTCTTTGAGAATTTGAACAGTACAGACATCAATATAATTGCTTTGTTGGCTGGTGGGGACACAGAATTGGCAGGATCCGTGACAGATGCTGTAGGCCACCTAGGAGTTGCTGTACTAGCACCACAGGCAGGTGGGCCACCTTCTCAGCGCAAGAGATATACCCCATACCCACTTCAGCTTGCACCTTCTAATGCTGTTCGGGCAGCCTCCATTCTTGCCTTGATTCATCATCTACAGTGGAACTGCTTTTCTGTTATATATCATCAAGATGGAATCGAACATGAAGATATGTTCAGATATGTGGAAAAACATATTGCCTCATCTCAACAGCTGGAGCTAACATCAGGGATTCCAATCCCCCTTGCTTCCATAAATGTTACATCGCTCATAAACAAATGTTTGAGAAGTCTCCGAGCACAGAACACAGAGGGGACCAGGATAGTTGTACTTATGTTGCCACATGAAATAGTTAAGCTTATATTCAGAACTGTGAAGACTTTGGAGGAGGAAGGACAGATTCTACCTGGTGACTTTACATGGATCATGTTTGGATCAGAAAACTTTGAATATAGGTAACAGTCATAAATGTATATGAATGATTTCCTCTTTCAAACAGACCACATAATGTTTTAGGAGTAACACACACTTTTAAGATAATATCTTTTAAATACTTATTTAGGATAGGTTAAAGAATGGTTTTGGTAGTTGCTAAATGAATAGTGTGACCAAGCATTTTTACTAAACAGTTACAAATCTTGTTTCATATTTAGGAGCTGCCTGGTTTAATTACCGACTCCAAGGACCAGGTATCCTAGCTAAGCTTTTCCATGGTATTTTTCAGTCCTACAAGGAAAATAAAGGAATAGTACTGTAAAATAGGCCATGACTGTTTCCTTCCCCATCCTACTGTCTTCATCCTTCACTATCATCTTCCTGTATTTGGGGGTGGTACTTGTGGCACATCTGAGCTTGTAATAACATGGGGCTGAGTCTCTACAATCTGTCATTTATTTATTAATTCAGTTGAAGGAGTAGTGTGACCTAGCACCTTACTTTATAAAGACATTAAAACTGAGTCACCAATCTTGGTTAAGTTCATACAGATCACTTCTTAACTTCATAATACTCCACTTGACAATGCTATTGCTTTCTGTGTTAGTTGCAACCACTAGTCACCGAATTCTTAAACAAACCAGGCAATAAATTTAGTCAGTAACTATTTTTCAAATGTTTAAATATGATATATTTGGCTCTTGAGCCAAACTTCATCTCATATATTCTGGTTCTGTCCTGAATTCTGATACCAAGACATGATCATATACTTTGTCTTTTCTGCATTTATTTGTAGACCAACATCACCACTAGCCCTTAAGAGTGTTTGTGCGTTTGCTTTTATAGTATTTATATTATTGCCCAACAGATTAATATCATGAGCATAGGCCAAGAGCTGATGTGTCCCATTCAATTCCAAACTGCACTGATTTTCTTGGACTTTCCTGATGGCATATTCTAAGGCAAAATTTAAAAATAGTGGCAATAGAGCATCTCCCTATTTTAGGCTATTCTGAATAGGCAATGTATTGGACAAATGTTTACCTACACAAATTTTGCTAGAGGTTTCACTTAAACACATTTTAATTAGCCTGACTAGCTTCTTAGGTATACCAAATTCAAGCAAAATGTTAGTGATTGTTAAGATTAAAATCTAAACAAGATATGTTTCCTCTGAAAGTGTTATCAAGGCCTCCTCATCACCTTTTCTGCTCTCCAGTTTATATCACCATAAGAAAGACTGCTTCTTCATCCCCCCTTCCTTCCTTTTTGTTCTACCTTCCTCCTCTCCCCAACCCCTTTACACCTTCCTTCAGCTACAAACACTTCAGAGATGTGATTCAGCAACAGGAAAAATAACAATTCATTATATGCTATAATATTTCACATTCTTGGAATGCTATGTTTAGTTCACAACTGTAATCTTGATACTTCCAAGGAATGCAGGAAGCCCAAAGCATTAAAGGCAGATGCTATATTTTCTCCTTCACCCCACTTCCTCGCCCCCACAAGTCTCAAGATTACAGTCACAAACAGTAACTTTTCTGATATAATAAACTATTGTTTCTAATTAATTGAAAGCAGTCTAGCCCCTTTCATAATTAATTTTCCTGTTTCAGCCAGGAATCATCAGGATCTATAGTTCTGCAGCCCAAGGCTGGTAAAGTTCCTGAGTTTGAACACCATTTCCAAAGACTTAGTTTGAGTTCCAATTCGTGGAATCCATGGTTCTCTGAATTCTGGTCCAGTGTTTTCCATTGCAGGGGTTCCACCTGCTACAATGATCTGTTTCGTGATCTCAGCAGTTACCAGTTGATGGACGTAAGTGTACACAGCTTCTATTAAACCTTTTGTCATGTCATATTTAATTGCATTACATCCTTATGGTAACTGTCCTTCAATGCACTTACTGCTAAGCCAGTAATGTTAGGAGGAACTATTTTCAAACCAGCAACTGAAAATGGGATGCTGTATGAAATTAGTAATGATTATAGTAGTTGTTGTTCCTCATCAATATGGTAAGCAGTATGTTGCAAACTTAAAGTATTGTCAAAACTCAAATAATCATTTTAAAGTGGAGCATTTTGCAGTTCTGTACTGTGTATATAAGAAGGTAAACATAATTAGGATAAAACATTTCTGGTAGAAGGAATAAGTACATACATGTCTTATTACCCTGTGTTAAAAGCAACATAGGCTTTCAACTAGTGCCATAAAACTCTTTTTTAAGTTGTGGCCCCATTATTATAGACATGTGATATATTATTGGCTTTGACTTTCAATAAAAATTGTCCACAATAAACAACAGTGGAAAGGCATACTTCACAGGTGGATACATGTTTTCCAAATGCATTGTTTGCTGTTTTGTGTACACCACTGGCCTTTATGTTTATTCAATGATGACATAAGTCTTATTATTATTATTTCAGAAATTGTCCTTGCATTCTGTTACATATTTGCCACAAAAAATGTTCTATGTAGAAATTATAGATATTAATAGCTTCTTTATTTATGCTCTCTTACATGTCATTTTAAGGAGTTTTATGAAGTCCCTTTTTTAATATACATCACAGTTGGCTTGTACATTTTAATGTGATCTCCCCTTCCAAACACCAGATTTCATCTAAATCCATCCTGTAGTTTTTGAGATGAGCATGAAGACAGACAGGCATACAGACATGACCTGCCAAATATTTATAATTTCATGTACTTTGTGAAAAGTACTCAAAAAAAATGAAAGTTGATTATTTTGGTACATAGTTACCATCATTCCTGTATTTATATTGATATTATTACTTCATACAGTGTAGCCTTCACAACCTAACCCAACCATACCTAACAGAATTTCATCTAATTTAGAACTGAGGAATTAACATAATTACATTACATCTAACTGGGTTTAAGTTGAATTGAGAATAAACAATCCAGTGTATATTTTTAGTTTTTCATGATCTAGCATGAGAACATCTTATGGGTATGTTCATATCTGTCTGTCAGTCATATCTTTCCTAGGATTTAGGCAACTGACATGACCAGGGTGTAACACATTGCCACAATAGTGGAAATCAAGGTTATTACTGGAATGCATTGTTGCTACAATGACAATCAAGGTCATTGCTGGCTCACAAAATTTATATCAGATCACATTGTAAAAGTGTAACCATAAAAGGAATGACAAATGTAACAATGGTATATTGTTGTATTTGTAATTTCTTTAAGTAAGAATGGTAGAAGTTCCCAGTTCCTTTAAACCATTGTTATCAGTGAAGGAACCTACTGATGTAACTACTCAAGATGTGGCCAGAAGAACTCTTTAGAATTTCAGTGTATTCCAAATAGTACACCTTTCCAATATTAGTTTGTGAAATTGTGACTTTATTTTCAGAATCCGTTGGTGGTAAATACCATTAACTCTGTTCTTGCTATTTCACATGCACTGGGAACTGTGAGAAGAGAGCTTTGTTCAGGTAAATTTCACTGTCTGAAATGTGTGTACATATATGATAGCTTCTGTTTTTCAGCTGTTTATTCTAAACATTAGTAACAGTGACAACTTGAGACCATTTTAAGGTCATGCATGTACATGAAATGAACTTGCTTCCCAAAAACTTTTAGAGAAAGTGTTTGTCAGGTCAGTTTAGAAACATTCTACATGGTTGGAAACATGTAACTACTGCTTAATATAGTATTGTGTTTCAGAGTGTTGATTATTAGCGTACTCAGAAACTTTTTCCAACATTAACTCCAGTTTCTAATATAAATTAGTATAGTGCTCCATTTGCCATTACAGCTGTCGATATTATAAAAAATTTATTCTGTAAATGGATTAAATTCTATTCTTCTTATACATTAAGGACTCATTATTATTTAGTTATAAGTAATTTGGTTTGTTAAAAAAAAGGCAGTATTGTGAAACCTCATAACTTTGGACAAAAGAATATTTGGTATTGGCACAGTATTACAACTTAAGTTTATCCTTCCTTCTTTTCTCTTGTCTTATGGATCGCTGTTTCAAAGACTTATAAGAAAAGTATGTAGTACATTACAATAGCTACAGCATTATCAGTGCTGTGGTGTGTGGTATGCAGTGTGGGTATTTACACAGAAATGAAATGCACTCTAGCATTTGAACTCTACAGAGATGGCTAAATGTCAAGATCAGATGGTGTAGAAGGTGTAAAACAGTAGTACATATTTAGTACAGAAACATTTTAATTACAAAGGAACATCATACTGTTATCAATGCATATGTTATGGCATTAACAGATGTCATACCACTCAGCAAGTAGAACTCAACCATCCAACCAGTTGGTGTGGTTGTCGTCATTATCAACATTTTTTGCCAAGTACACTGGGAAGCCCATTATAGCATTACTGGTTTAATGGTGTTAAAGATACAGTGAATCTTACCGTTTGACTCAGCAACAGAGTGCATGCAAATTGTGCTAAGCTCTTCTTTAATGAAAGACAACCAGTTGTTAAACCTGATTGGGTAGGGACTTCTAAGATGCCAGATGAGAGGTCCATGTTGTCCAGTCTGCAGTGAAAACTGGTTGTTCAGGAAATCATTATGTTAGAAGCATAATGGGCTAGTGTCTAGACTTGTTGCAACATTACACTATATAGAAGGCCAACATTATGAAGTTCTGGAATTAGCCACTGGGACTACAGCTCTAGATAACTTCCACCAGTAAGTCAGTCCTCAATGCCCCCATCATTGCCCTGATGATGGAGGCAGCAAGGATCTCTGAAATGTTGGTAAATTTCTACCGGACTACATAGTGCTAAACCCAGAAGACAGTCATCTTTCTTTTCCGATTTAATTTCATTTTCAAGATGTAAATACTACGTATTTATCCTATTGATAGAAACAAGATCTTCCAAGATTTGCAAAAATATTGTTCTTATAAGGTGTATGTTGCAGATGGCAACATATGCAAAGCAATGCAGGACATTGCTAGAGTTCGCAGACGTCTGTTTGAAGTGGCCCCGCATATGGCATTTGTTGGTGTTGGTCTCAGTGCTGTGGCATTTTCTAGTTATGGAGAAAATTCACATGCTGATATTGAGGTAAAATATGATTATTCATTGATTATTGCATTCCACAATCCATATGAAATCTTGCGTGTCACCTTTAACCCTCTTTCTACAAAGCATAATGCTAATACTTATTATTCTTCAGAATCCCTTCCATACATTCTGTATAATTGTCATAGCTAAGCCTACTTCTGCCTTTAACAATCATAACATAACATTCAGACAAGCTCTGGGGTCTATCCAGTCTCCTTTTTGATGGATGCTGGGATTGTTGCCCCTGATATAATGTTGACAGATCATGAAATTCATTGCTCACATTTGATGTTCATAATGCATGGAACTTACCTCTTATGTCTTCTGTACACCTTCATGTATTATTTTTAGGCACTGGGGAAACTTTCTACTTCCAATAACTTCTTCATTAGTTTTACAAAGAAAATTGAATATACGAATGTGCTCTTACCATTGCTGTTTTTTATATGATAATAGCTATTACTATTGTTAACAACAAACAAACTTTTAGTTGTGATGCTACTTTATTTGCATAGGAATCTTCAGTTGATAATATATGTGGAAACTCTCCACAGCTACAGAACATAACTTGAAATTAATTATTTGTTCATTCAAAAACACATGTAGCACACATGAAGGAGAAAAATGCACACAACATTTTAGTTAGGAAACCTGTGGGATACACACCACTTGGAAGACCAAGGTATAAATGGAAAATAATATTGGCATGGCCCTTATGGAAGTCAGAGGTGAATTGGATTCATCTGGCTCAGGTTATATTCCAGTGGCAGGTTCTTGTGAACATTGGAATTAGCCTCTAGGATCCATGTAATGTGCAGAATTTCTTGAACATCTGATCAACTATTAGCTTTTCAAGAAGAACTATCCTGCATGTAATTGGTAATGATCTGTGACGTCCTATTCTTGAAAAAGCTGTCCTGATTAAACTTTATGGCCTGTTGCAAACTTATGGTTGCTTTTTCAAAACTGTTCTAGGTGTTGAATGTCCATCTTGTTGGAAAACAAGGTAAACCAATTTCTGCAGGTTACATAACTACAACAGGAAAGGTTCAACTTGATCTCACAAAGATGAAGTCATATGTGATGGATAACAGAACAGAAATATCTCTGCAAGAGTTACATTCTGGGAGTCAAGGCACATATGGCTTAGATAGTGAAATGCCTCATGTTGTAAAGGTAAGTTAGTTAACCTATATTGACAGTTGGTTGCTGCGGTATCTTAAGAAACAAGTAATTTTAACAAAGTACATAATGTCTGTACTCAGATTTTTAGAAGTTTCTGTAGAAATTTTTTATGCATCTCTTAGTCTATATGAAGAACATATATGCAGTGTGTTTCAGGACAAAGTGTTTAGGAGAATAGGAAGGTATAAGAAAGAAGAAGTTGTAATTCTCAAATAATGATAAATTTCCTAAGTTCTGCTTTTTGTCTCATATATTAAGGTGCTTAATACAAGAAGGATGGAATGGACCAGAATGCATGGGGAAAATGATAAATAAATATAAAATGTTAAATAATCCCTCAAGAGAAGATATTTGGGAAAGCTGGGCATATACAGGAGTATGATATCAAAATAAAGGTTATAGAAATAGGATGTGAGAGTATATACTAGGTTTAATTGGCTCAGGACATGATTCACCATTGGACTTTTATTGTAAACATGGTCACAAATCTATGAGTTCTATAACAGCAAGAAATTTCATTAATAGTTGATTAACTAATCAGCTTTTGAAGAAAGATCTTAAACCATGGAGCTGCATATGTTTCTGTATCAATTATTTATGGATTCTATGTCATTTATTTGGAACAGATTGGCACTACGGGAATTAAGAAATGGGCATTATCACTTCTTGGAGTTGCTTCTGTACATCAGCAGGGGGTTGGACACTTTAGTTGTGGTAAACTTCATCCAACAGCCATGCTATACATAGCTGCCTTACACTATGCCCTCAGTATGGTCAACTATAACGCGTCCATGTTTCCAGGGATTGAACTGGGACTTATCCTCTTTGATAGCTGTTCAAGACCTACCCATGCTTATAATTCCATCCATAACTTTTTATCATTCCCCAGGCAATCTCTCAATGCAATTACTGTAGGTAAGTATATGTAATAAATTAAAGCATTGTTGTTTAGATCAGGGATCCTTGACCTTTTAAGACCTAAATATTTAATTTAGGCAGCATCTATGTTCTCATTATATAGGGTTATATTATATTACACAAATGCATGTGAGTGGCATGAAACACATTAATGGGCCACACGTGGCTTCCAGGCTGAGAACCATTGATTTAGATTGTTGCCTTCTGGGTTCTGAGTTGTATGGCAATGTATCAAAGGAAAATTAAGTAAGACTGATCAGAATGTTGAAGATGGAGACAGCATGATCTTCCAAAATGTTGGTACACAACCAAAAGACCACAGTCTAAACAAAACTACTGTAAAAAGCTCATGTACTGTATTGTAATAGTTGAATATATAAAGGGTGCTGTTAAGCGATTACACTGTGAAAGTATTCATCAGATTTTTATTATAATTACATTAATATAATTTGTTAAATATAAAAAAGTGTCATGAGAGAGAACAATAGATGAGCTTACTTGCATCACCTCACTGATAAAGTTCAGTGTTGTGAACTATATATTACACAAGTCATTAATTTCTAAAAAAGAGTTCACAGAAATGTATTTGTTTTGCTGTGTGGGGATGATAAAACCAGAGATCTGTTAATTTTATTAACAAAACTTCTAAGTAGAGTTTTTATGCTTCCACTAAATTATTTACATTATTTGTAGTTATCTGGTGAAACTATGTGTAATCCCAAAGTAATTCAGTCAGGATCGTTGGCAGCTCAGCTGAGATTCAAATTAGGTGCTGCTTGAATACCTGCAGTGTTACTACCACACCATCTATTCAGTCTAGCTCTAGGTAACTAAAATGTACTGTTACAAAGATTTATTACATGAACATTTGGTGTTATTAAAGTTTTGTTTGGTAAAAGCCATTGTTCAAAAGATCTGTAGTGCAATTGACTCTCATTTTATCACATTACTGTATAATCTAATGTAGAATTGCCTCTCTTGCTTCTAAGTAACTTTTCATACTACTGTGACTCAAGATTTTACTACAGAGTGTGTAGTAATAAGTTATGCCATTCACAGGTGTGGAAATGCTGCCAAGACCGACAGACATTGTAGCTGCTGTTATATTAGACTCAGCAGTTGCAGAAGTAGTCACACCATTACTGCATGCACAAAACATTACTCCATTAGTAGTACCTGTTGAAAGATTTGCAACTCAAAGAACACAGTTGTCTTCTGAATCAAGTAAGGTAAGCTGTACCTTCAAAACTCTCACATAAAAGTAAGCTAAACAAGCCCTTCTTATTATCTTAAAACTTTGCATACCGTGTAGTGTATTAGAATATAAAATAAGCAAACAAACTATTAACACTATAAAAAAGACACTAGTGACATACGCGTTTCAACCTCAAGAGATCATCATCAGTGGCATCAGTGAAATTAATTCATTTAATCAAAATGGTTTAAAATTGGTTTAGAAAACAAATAATGAAGTAGAGTATTTTACAAAAGCATAACAAGCAACACTACACTAGATGTTTGTTTCACAGGAGTTGAACTATGCACTTAGCTATTGATCCAATTGTCCGGTGGCCGTAGCTGGTCTGTGGCGAGCCGTGGTTGCGTCGTCTGTACCTGTGAACTCCAACGAAGCGAGGGTGTTACTCACACACACACACACAACCACGGCTCGCCGCAGACCAGCAAGGCCACTGGACCATCGGATCAATAGCTAAGTGCATAGTTCAACTCCTGTGAAACAAACATCTAGTGTAGTGTTGCTTGTTATGCTTTTGTAAAATACTCTACTTCATTATTTGTTTTCTAAACCAATTTTAAACCATTTTGATTAAATGAATTAATTTCCCTGTTGCCACTGATGATGACCTCTTGAGGAACGCATTTGGCACTAATGTCTTTTTATAGTTGTTTGTTTGCTTATTTTATGTTCCTTCTTATTATACATCAACTTTTCCAACAAGTTGGGTCAGACTTTTTATTTCTTCCCTATTTTACCATAAGTGTTCCTCTTGTATCTATATATATATATCTTCCCTCACTTGTTACATCCAGCTAGTCATAGGTCTCCTTAGCAGACATTTATTAAGAATCATGATTTTCAAAACTTTCAAAGTTATCTGATTGTCACCCCTAAAAACTACATATTCATAACACTCTATTCTTATTTTCACTAACTTTTCTTCTATTTTCTGCTTTCATATCTTGCTCAGCTTCCAGTTTTGGGTAGCATGTCTTCTTATATGTTTCTAAGTATTCTGTTCAACTTTCTTAAAGTTGTCTTACATTTGTCCTAGTTCATATTCTATTACATTCTCCATGTATTAAAATAGGCAAGTTATATGGTTTATGTAATGTACTTAATATTTTTCTAAAAATTTGCCATTCAGTTATAAGCGATAATTCTGTCATGCTCTGTGTGATGTATTAGCGGAACCTGTACAGACATTAAAGGGAATAAATCACTGTGAATAAAAGGCAAGATTTATCCTTTCACTGTTTTAGATGAAACGTTTTGTCTTCACAGAAATTCATGTTGTGAGTTACTGACAGAACTCTTTAATTATTATTATTTGTTTTGAAAAAATCTAGATAAAAATTAATGGAATAAATTAATTCCTGACATAAGTATTGAATCTGTGAAATGTAAATGGTCCCTTTGGCTGTGTATTGTGCTCTCAAAGCATTATAAACTTCGGCACTCTCTGGAGACAAGTTTCATGCTGCAGCTCATTTTACCACTGGATAAAGCATTCTGGAACCCACTGGATGAGTCCGACATCCTCTCTCTCAGGTTCAGATATTCTTCTCAGTACTGTATCCTCACATCCTGACTCAAAACCGGTGTATTGTACCTAAAATCGGTATTGGTCATGAAATATAGATTGCACTAAAAACTACAACTTACGTTTGTGCCTTGATGAAATTGTTAGGTGTGAAGACAACTTCACCATTTTACTTCGCACCACTGGTCTGTAACATGTCTATACCATATATTTATTAATGTTACTGTTTCAGGAATCATTTCTTTTGAGAGAAAACCTAATTGAAGCAATGATATCTGTTTCACGGGCCACTCATTCACATTCCATAGTTGTAATACATGGAACAGCAGATTGGGCTGAACTGTTGAATCAGCAGTTGCAGACTTACTCACAGCAACACACTGATTTATTCTGCCTTGCTGGTGTCTATGCTTTACACAGCAAGAACACTAAAGAGCTAATAGGAGCCATCAGTTCAAGTAACCTAATGGCTACAGATGACATTACCAGAACTTTAAAACCTGGTACCATGGCGGTCCTTCTTCTTGAAGACCCTGAAGAAATTAGAGCATTTTTGGAAATTTGTCAACATATCAATGGACTGGTATTTCTAACAGTTCTTCGTCCTTGGAGTATAAATCCATATTCAGGTAAGAAAAACATGTAAAACTTTAATTAATGTTTTATTCATTTTTCTGAAAAAAACAATATTTTGTGTCTATCTAACAAATTATATGCAACTTCACTAGTTGTTATCCCATCTCCTTTTATTTCAAAACAAAATAATCTGTATTTATAAAGCAAAATGTTGTGATATGTCAAGTTGAAGTTCATCTAACATGAAATGCTGGTAAGAACTTACAATGTCCTCTTCTTTCCATCTGATACTATATATGTTCAGGGTAACAAGGTCTATAAATTTATAAGATAGTTTAGTGGTTTATTTTTTTAGTAATAACATAGATTGAGGTTGTCTGAGACAGGGTGCTGAAGAGAATATTTGGACTCAAGAGGGGTGAAGTGATAGGAGGTTGTAGGAACTGCAAAATGAGAAGAATTATAATTTGTATTCTTCACCAGTTATTGTTAGGATGATCAAACATAAGAGGATGACGTGTGTGGACCTTGTATAACACAAACAGGGATTATGGGTATACAGAATTTTAATCATAAACTAAAGAGAGGAGACTGCTTGGGAAACCTAGGAATGGATGAAAGTGTACAATATTAAAATAGGTCCAAAAGAAATAGCATGTGAAGATGCAGACTGGATTAGCTAGCTCAAAATAGGGTTCAGTGGTAGGATTTTGTGAAACAGTAATGAATCTTTAGGTTCCCTAAAAGGGGGAGCAGTAATTTTCTTGGCCAGTTATGTGACTGTAAGCTTTTCAGGAAGGATTCTACTATATGGTGTTAGTTCTATAATAAATCTAAACACTTTTCCTGTATATATTTCCTACATGATCACAATTTATTGTGTAATAATATCAGAATCATAACAACTTTGCTAGTTGTATATCTTGAATGTATAATGCTTTTGTCACATGTTTGATATTAGACAATTTTGGTAGTACATTTACTTTGACTTTGTAAATATTGTAGGTCCTACCGTATTCACCTTACATCAGGTTCCTGATGTTGAAGAACCCATTTTTGGAGACACAGCGAAATTTCAAGAATGGTTTACTTCCAATGTTCTTTCATCCAGAGACATAAAATCAGTACCTTTTCCAGCCACATGGTTCCATGAATTTCAAACATTCTACGGACAAGACAATACAAGTCACAGAATACAGAAGTTATTCACTACAACAGACTTTACATCAGGTATTCAGGAAACTATTAACTCAATATGGACCATTACAAGACAATTACACCAGTTCTTCAGTCATCACTGTGCAAGTCATTCTGAAATGAATACTTCTTCTGAGTGCTTCAATTTAAGCAAAACAAATATTTCAAAAATCAGGAGCTTCCTGCAAGAGGAACTACTTCACCTCTCCCCCAGGATGAAGAAATATCGTTCTAACACTTTTAGCATATGGGTGAGATCAGAGCGCATTGCAACTTGGGAGAAAGGAATTGGACTGACGATCTCAAATTCTGTGTATTTTCAGAATTATCAGTCTTATTGTAGCGGGATTAACTGCACAGTTTGTGATCAGAATGGTGGATATTTCTCCAGAAATCGCCAGACAGTCCAGTATCCCTGGGCATCAGCCCTAGGTGTACTGTCTCTATTTGGAGCATTCCTGACTGTACTGACAACATTATATTTTTTGGCTGCAGCAGCTTTACCAAACAGCAACATGTGTGGGGGAACTTCTGTGCTTGGTTATCTCATTCTGTTGGGTTTGCTTCTCTTATTCACTGCAAACTTGAGCTTTGTGTTGACACCAACAGAAGCTACATGTGGTGCACGCAGATTTCTACTAGGACTTGCTTACACTGTGATCTTTGCTGGAATGTTACTTAAGGTAAAATACAATTATCAAATAACGTTATTTAATTATGTGTTATTTCAGATCATGAAACAAAAATGAATGAACCATCATTAAAACCAAGATGTTTATATTTTGTAAGAAAGTAGTATTTGTTTAGATTTAACTAGGCGATATTTGAGGTTCTCATAGCATTAAATATAAAGATGCTGTTTTCTGGGATGTTTCACCATTTAGTCTGGTAGATGTTGACTGACATTTCAGAGGACCTTACTGTCTCCATCATCAAGGTGATGACTAGTGATGGAGGCAATAAGCTTCACTGAAACATTGATCATTACATATCTACCAGACTGCACAGTGCATTATCTCAGACAACAGCCATCTTCATAGATTGAACTTTTTTTATAAAACCTGTACTATTGCACAGTTCTAGTTATACTACCATCTAGTACTTTTAGGATAGTGAAATGTAGTCAGCTATGATGAAATGGACATGTGAAGTTCAAAAGAATTTTTGGTGGGGAAATTTTCTGGAAATCATCCACATGGAAGGCCAAAAAATGAGAGAATAACGGTAAGATAGGTCTTCATTTGTGAGGATGAGAGGTTGATTAAAATGCCTCAGAATCATATTGAACTGATTTTTACATTGTTGAACCTTCAGTTCTGCTACCATAGTTAATTTAAGGACTGGGAAGATACTGACAAATTGCAATGTTATCTTGCAGGCTTTTACTACATGGTGGATCAACAGCAGTGCAGAACCTTTAATGAATATGTTGACTCACTCAGCTGGACTGCTCACATTGGCCTTAGCTCTGATAATGATGCAGGTGCTGCTGGCAGGGGGTTGGCTGATTTTGCTTCCTCCCCAAACCTACATGCTTGTTTCTAAGGATGTACCACTCTGGCGTTGCTACCCAAATGGGCATTTTGAGTCACATCTGCTTCTGTCAATGGTTTATGTAATATTACTTGTTACTGCAACAGCTACTGTGGCACTTCTATGTTGTTCAAGGTAAGAATCATAATTGCATGCATTAAATTCAAAATGTCATTCCATTTCCCATACTATTGTGTGGTGTCATAATCCAGTTTCTTCAAGCTATTTAGATCAGCTGTGTTTTGCTACATTAGCAAGGGAAGAGCTCTTTTAATTGTACCATGTTCCACAATGTTAGGAGGGGCAAAGAATTTAAAGTGACAGTGGGTATTTAATTTTATTATGTTTTGCTTTGCAGAAAAGTGTTAAACTGGCCCCTTTTTAAGTACTGCAGTGTATATGTTCAGTATCTTTAACTTTGTTTTGTTATGCAGTCCCTCACAACCTATTACAGTCTTTTGAGTTGGTCTTCTTCCCAGTTCTTGGCATTAAATTATATTGCTACTGCAATGTATGCTGTACAGTAACCAAGTATGTGATAGTTGGTGCTTTGTAATAATGTTGTACTGTAGTACAGTGATGATCAGAAATGAAGGTATGCAATAAGGCATAGGATGAAGTAAAAAATCAAGAAAGGAAGGTCACCAGTTTGAATACCTGCTGTAGTACAAAATAAAGATGATGTTTTCAAGTAAGAATGTATAACAGTTGTTGTACAGGACTATGTAAGACAAAGAAAAAATTGAATATATTAAACATTCACACTGTATAGTAACTGTCTTGTCTAATAGTATCTCTTATATTTCTAGTTTGAAACACCAATTAGACGGTTAATATGACATATGGCAAGCAAATGTTAAACACAAGTGATTCTTTTTATGCATACAGCTTATTTGATATTAAACTGGTACACTGCTAATTCACTTTAAATATAGCCACAGATGCTCCTCATAATACTGAAATTGAACCACGAATATGTGAAACTACAGATACTGAAAGCGTGTATAATGAGAGTCACCTGTAAAGATTTAGTACCTATTAACTGTATTACTACATGATCCTGTTGTCTCACGTTGTGTTTTTATCTAGCTCTAAACTTGATGTGGATGATGAAAATTATGTGTGTTATGAAGCACGCTGCATCCTCTTGGCATCAATTCTAGTAGCTGCAGTGTTTACATTTTGGGGAATTGTAACAGTGGCAATGATCACACCAAGGCATGCTGACATGGTATCAGCAACTGCACATCTGCTGGCTGCAAAAATCCTCTTGCTGTGTTTGTATGCACCAAAAGTATACTTGTACAATCACCTGCGGTCAGGAAAATCCTCACCTCAAACATCTTTGCAACATTTCTATGAAACCACAAAACATTTCAGACCACAAACACTAAAAACTTTACCAGGTAAGATGATTAATTAACTAATTACATATGAAAGGTTACCTTTCAAACTTGTACTGAAATATTATAAATAATGTCTTATTTAAATGGCAACAGTTCCATTTAATATGGAAATAATTGTTTTTGTAGGGAGATATAAAATATATCTAGGAATTTTTAATTAATATGAAAATAAAATTCAAAAAGTACTGTATGTCTCAAATCACTAAATATGTGACAACAATACATCGACCAGACTACACAGCGCAATAACCCAGAAGACAGAAATCTTCAAATTCTTTATAGTTGGAAGACAGACTGAATATGAGTAGACTAGCTTACGGGTAATCAGAGATTATGAAAGAATGTCCTTCATTTGTTGGAAAGTTTGATAGATCAGTGTGGCTTAACTCTTTCACTGATACATTTTTTAAGAAGTGGCAAAATCCTCCTAGAAAGATTTCAAGATTGTATAAAAATCTGCTTCATGTTGTCAGGGGTATTTTTATGTTCTTTGTGAGATGGTAAGGTCATGTCTGTCTGTTTATCCATCCATCAGCATATTTCATCTGTGAAACAAATCAGTGGATTTCAATGAAAATTATTATAATGTCTGCTCTAAAGTTTATAAGGCAAATCTAATTTTGGTTCATATCAGTTCAATATTTTATATGAAGTTTAAATCATACTTTATGAATGTTTTAGAAATATTTCATCAACTAAAACATGCATGATATATTATGTAGATCTCATTAAGGTCTACAATATTTCTTGTCCTTCAGTTCCTGTAGTTGGCGTTCAATGTACAACTTTGGCTTTCAGAGAGGAGCTGTGTCAAATGCTGAAAGTTATCCAACTTTTTGGCAAACATTACTATTGCCATCTTCAGCTTTAGTATGGACTGGTTGGGAATTTTTGAAAGCCTTATATAGGGCAGGAAGGAGATGGCAGTAGATGAAAGAGTTTTTGGTGGCCATGTGATTCAGGAAAGCAGGTAACAAAAGGATTTAGCAACTATGTGGATAGGATAAAACATGAGAGTTTTTCCACGCCTTCTTTTTAATGGGCCATGAGGTTTGGAGTAAAGGTGGTGGAGAACCATCTTTTTTAGGGCCAGATGGGTCAAAAAGAGGTGATAAAAAAGTTTTTTGATATGGATGGGAATAAAGGTTAACCATTGTTTATGGATGGAAGTGGTTTCTTTGATAGCTTGGGAGAAAGTATGTGAAACCAGGCTGCATCTTCTCTCATTCTCATGGCCTGCAAAGAAAAATTATTGACCTCTTCTCCTATTCAAATAGTTGCTAAATCTTCCTGTCACCTCCTTTATATGGTCACCAAAACTTCATTTGTAACCCCTTCTTCTCATCACGTCCATTAAAAAAACTTTTATTTGCCTCTTTTTCCAATGTTCATCTCCAAATGGTGAGCAGCCCACTCTTCAGATCCATCATAAGCCATTCACTGTGTACTGCCTGCCCTATGTAAGGCTTACAAAAACATCCAACCAGTGCATATTCACCCTGCAGATGCCAACTGAAATGTTTGCCAAAACATTTGATAACTTTCAACATTAGATGTGATTCATCTCCAAAAGCCAAAGTTGTACATTTACAAATCTTATACTAAAAACTGTTTGTGTGAATATTCTATGAAATGTGAGGAGAATTCATTTCTGATTTTATGCATTGTGACGTCTATAGTGTGAATACCTTAAGAACAATACATTTGTTTCTGCAATAAATGAACCTCAAGGACAACAACACAGAAAATTTTAAAGAACATGTTTTGAAAAGAAATGCACTCCATTCCACTTTTTGTATGCCTGTATGTGTTCTAGATTTAACAAAAATTACTGTATTTTTGCTGTAGTAGAAATTTCACCAAATCATGTCTGTTATTATGTTATATTAATTACCATTTTGCATTTAAACAGCATTCATCCCACCTCCTCCTATTATTAACATGGAACTACCTCAAGTGGGAGATGATAATGAGTCACTGGAGGATCCAACACAGATAGTTCCCAGTTCTCTCTACTCACTGGATATGTTTAGTCAGTCATCCAGTAGTCGGAACAATATTTATGAAGGAGATGATGAAATTGGTGAACATTGTGAAGCTGGTACCAATGAATTCATAGCACCACAGAGCACTGTCATACTAGTTGACAGGAAAGAAATAGCTAAACATGGTAAGGAAGTAAAATATTCCAAAGTTAATGAGGCATCACTAACTTCTCAGATGTTTAAGTAAGTGACATTATAAGAATATCAGTTAAGTAAGAAGTTATGGAAGGAACATCGAAATTTACTTCCCTTTTAATGCTTCCATGTATGTAGAAAACTAGCAGAAATTATAAAATAATAATTCTATAACTTCTTGATGTATTTCTGGCCATAATGTACATAAGCTCATAATTTTGTTTGCTGTCATATCTGTATTTTACTTTTGAGATTCTCATCACAGTGAAGATAACAGTGTTAATGTTTATATACATAGTTTCTTCCATATTGGCAACAAAAATAAATCTATATTTACCTGCACATTTTACATGAGAAATATACAGTGTTTGTCAAGTGTGGCCAGAGGCAAATGCAGATGAAAATTAATGTGCTCATTATGCCCAGATTGGCCTATATGACCTAAGGCATGAACTACAAATCACTTCTATTTTCATTATCTTCTCATATATTTGTTAATTCTGTAATATCACATATGCAAATCAACACATATTTACACAGAGTCACTGCTATTTGTTTAGTCACTATGACATCATCTCCAAATAGTACTCAGTATGTCTAAAAACAAATTGGCATTGTCATCTGTCATATTACCAAAACACTCATTTTTCTCTGTAAAGTAAATGCATAAAGCACTGTGGTAATGCCATTTATTTAAGTAAGCACTGATTGTTAATGTATTAATTAATTAATTAATTAATTATTTTCAGTCCCTTCCATAGAAATATTTTCACCTCAGTCTGTCATTGTAATAATAAAGCCATATTTCAACATAGTTCTGTTTATTTCAGAAAGGAGACATGCTTTTGGATCCATCTCTTCTACTACCATGGCAGAAAGGTGGTTACGATCCGGTTCTGTATCTGGAATAGGTATTATTTCAATTTATTTTATAATACTGAGTAGTCTTGGTTATCATACAGATACCACTAACATACAGTAATGAGCAGGGCTTTGGAAATATGGTTACCTACTCTCCAGAGGTGAGTTCATTTTGAAAGATGGCAAGGAGAAATTCACAGTAGCCAGTTGTATTACGTTAATGGGTCACAGAAGTTGTTTTTCTGTAGAATATTTAGAGCTAGAAACAAATTACATCTGATAACAAAAACTAGAAATGAACACTTTATTGTATGAGGATGGATTCATTCTTTTAGACTGAATTTTCAAAGTTGAGTGGGAGTAAGATCCCAACCATTTTTTCAGTAAAATATTTTCCAGTATATAATCAATGTCATTTGGTCAGTCTATTTTTGTTTTGTTTTTGTGCCTTCAGATAGTTTTTGTGCATACAGTTTTATTGATAACAATAGGTTCCACTATTTTCTAAACAGTCAGAATAATGAAAATAAAAAGGAACATTGGACAGGTGAACATATTTTTAGATTGGCAAATAAGACTTCCATAATTTTTGAAGCCTTTTTTTAATGATCTAAATCAGGGTTGTTCAACTTTTTTCCTCACTCAGGCCAGAATAGTTTTTCTGTTGGACCCAAGGGCCAAGAAACCCCTACTGTTACTATTTTTGCGTTGTCATTATTTTCAATAACACTTATTCAGAAATGACAAATTACCATTTCTAAGCTGGAATATAAATTTTATTTAAATGTGCACAATCTACTACAGAGTTGTATATTATTTTTAATTTGCTCCTACAACATTTTGTATCTCTCAAAATTTTTACTTTGAAAACTTAAATTATTTGAACTCCGCTATTTTAACAGCTTGTATCTGATAAAATAACAATTTGTACTGGTAGAACGTACATCTTATGCTTTTAAAGTCAATGGCTTTAGTGACAGCACTGAGCAGAATGTTCTTTTACCAGTGATGGAATATCAACTTCGAAAAAAATTGGTTTGTACTAACTAGTAACAAATTAACCAATACTTTCACTGGCTGGATCCGGCCCACGTGCTGCCAGTTGGACCACGTTGATCTAAACAGTATTTGTTAACTCATTTGAGGCAATAATTAAACCTAGCCTAATATATTCTCACTAGTAAACTGCCCATCAAGAATGATAGGTTACAGATTTCAGCTTTCTTTTTATTATTATTAATTTATTTCTTGTGTACCTAGAAAATTTAAAGATTGGTCCCACACAAACTGCTTCACCCCAGGCTGCTCCCATTTAGAGACATTTCTGCCTACATTCATTCACTTCACACATTCTGTGCAATAACACACAATAATCTGATTTCTAAAGAGTCTACAAAATGGTCCTATATTTTTTCACTCAAATATGAGGGTCATGTCTTTGTTCATGGTTTTCCTGTAATATATTCTATAATTTTCCTTTTTCAGATGAAGCATGTTACTCATGAAATGGAAACAAAGAAGTTATATTGTCATGGCATGTATTATATTTCTCCTCCTTGAGAAATGTTGCTGATTTCATGTTTGTTATGTACAAGCAACATGTAAGATTTGAAACTTTTATGGTGAACAAACATACTAAGATCCTTTCACTCAATCTCATCAACCCTGATGGTGGAAACAAAGCAGATCTCTAAAATGTTACTTTTTAACTTAGCTTTGATGCTGCCAATCACCTGAGAGGATTTTATTGTATGAGTAACATGTTACTGAAGAGAAGATCTTGCTGCTGGCTACACACTGCAATTAATAGGAGAATGGAAATAACTTCTTCCTGAATCATGTTCTTATAAATGGAATGTTGGTTGTCTGTATAATTCAATCCTCCATTTATTTTACTTAACATCTGTTAATGGGGGTAGAAAAGGAATGAACTAGAATTAGAGGAAACTTCCTTTCCTAGTAATTCCCTGCTGATTATCCACAAAATTTGATTACTTGTTTCTTCTATTAAAGATATAATCCCAAAATAGGTATAAAATAGTAATTAAAAGAACCCCATATTTGTCACAGAATTTCTGTGTAAGTACACTGCATCTGTTTCCTGGTAAATAAACTATTAATTGACTATCCAATCTAATGATATTTTGCAGCCATAAAAGCAGGTAAAACCACCCAACAGCACATATCCAGCAGTTCTAAAAGTTTGTCAAATACATGTATCTGTGAAAGTTATGATAAAAACTAAAACAAAAAAGGAACTGGTGCATATTCTTGGACATTTACCTTTGTCCATCATTTTAAAAGATCACAACATTTTGGAAGTTAGTTCTGCTTCCACTATCATGTCCTTAGAACAAAGTAAATTCTCAATCCCCAGACAACAGTGTTATAATCAAGGTATATAAACTTAAAATGATTAAAGATCAAGTACAGGAGATAAGAAATTGTATTTGCTACTAAGAATTTTATATTAAATCTCCTAACCATAAAACATCAATATTATTTTTGATAAAACTACAACCAATAAAAAATGAGATAGGTGGTGGGGGCCAAGACTAAAGGTTAAACCAGAAACCTTTAGGCAAATATCAAAAAAGAACCTTTTCTAGTCATGTCTGGCCACATATGTTTGAAGCATTTCCAATAATAGAGGAGTGAATGGGGAGGTAGGTGGATGGAAACCATGGTGGTTGTGGGTTATAAGCAGGTATACAAAATTTTATGGAGACAAACACCTTCTTTGTTTCCCTCCAGGCAAGTGGATTATAATCACTTCAACATTTTTCACAGTTAATAATTTGCAGTAATTTTCTCATTTGGTTCTGTATAATCTATGCAGTTGATGTTCTTAAACTAAGAAAAGTGCTTCCAGCAGCACTGTGAGAGACATCAGAAATATTTCAGATTATGAAGGATCATTCCATTCTGATTAGCATTTGATTATATTTAATTAACTCCATGGAATTGGGTCCTTATTAAAAATCAGATAGTCAAGAAATTCTCCACTCTTTATGCAGCCCAAAGGTTCATTACTGTATTCACAAGATGAATCCAGGCCACATCCTCACACCATTTCTTTAAGCATGCTTTCCTCATCTATCCCATGCATCGTACATGCTCTGCTCATCTCATTCTCCAGATTTAATCATTTTAGTAATATCTGTTAAAAAGAGTCAAAATTATAAAAATCTTCATTATACATTTTTCTCTTGCCTCCTGTTACTTCCTCTCTCCTAGGTTCAGATATTTTCCTCAGTGCCCTGTTCTCAAACACCATCAACCTTGTTCTTCACTTAAGTTGAGAGACCAAGTTTTAAGTTTTACACTCATGTAAAACAACAGTACAAAATCACAGTGTTTATATGTTTTGATCATTATATTTCTAGATAGGAGATTTTAAGATTTTAAAGATTTTTAACTGAATGGTAGCAAGTAGTCCCCAGGAACATAATCTGCTCTTAATTTCTTGTGAATGCTCTTAATTTCTTGTGAATGTAATTTTGATTCATTATTGTTGTTCCCAAATATTTTAACTTTATGTCATATTTTTAAAAAACTTTAGTGATATTAGCTCTCCGTATATTATGATTTTATCCTGCATTCTGGTGATGAGAGAAATTATTGGATTATATTCAGATGGACTAAATGTTGCCATGGCAACTCCCCCATATTCTCTCCTTCCTCTGATGTCCCTGAGTTTAATTAACATTGGGCTGTTATATGTAATTTAAAGTTATTAATTTGAATTCTCCACATTAATTTTATAAATTTATTGTAATTATAATGAATGCTAATTGCAAATTATTTTTAACTTTCTTTAATTAAGATTATTAGATTTTCATGAGGCAATGCTACAAAACATGTTTTAAGAGATTGTAAATATTTTCTGCCCTTTGCATTATGTACATGTTGTGTGTTGTGTGAATCTTTGCTGTCTTTCATTAAATGATTTAAATACATAAGTAAGAGTGACAGAATTAGAAATAACAAAAACAAATAATTCAAATTATTTTATAGATAGAAATTTAATACAATTCAGTGTTAAAAAGAAGCCAATTTATATCAGAAACTTAATGGGTGTTACTGCTTCCCCTTAGGAGCGGATTATGACTTTCAAATTAAACTACTGTGATAGAATCACAGTAATATTTGTACTGTAGGATGTTATTTTATTAAGGAAGAATGTCTTGTCAAAGATTAATCGGTGCGTAAACTTAATTCATATTCAGTCTATTAAAACAGAATCACTTAACTCTGAGATGTTTATAATTTTGTACTTTTATACCATGATTTCAGAATATTGTTCTGCAAATACAAGTAGTTATATTTAACATTTTATCTTATTAGGTATTCCACTCATTATTATTTTGTACATATATAAAACCAGAAGAAATCTATATATGTTGTGTTGTATATAGTGATTCATACCAAATTCCAAGACTTGAATTTCTGTTCTAGCACATCAAAGCTAGTACAAAAGTGATTTAAACATAAAAAGTACACTTGTTGAAAAAATGTTAATTATAGGAATTTCTGTATACAGTTTACTTTTCTTACACAGATTTTATTCATTCATGAAAACTACATTTATTTGTTTTATGTAGTGATGCAATTGCATTTATATTTCTCATACCTGATGACAATACATTTTTCTACAACCCAGATGACAGTACACAATAACTAACATTAAGGTCTAAAATGTTTTTATGATGTTTGTACTTATGTAAAATCTGCTTTTATTTATACAGAAATGCAAGTAGGTTTGTTACAAGTTGCATTAATAATATGTTTTAATACACTTTTCTTCACACAGTGACTATTAATAAATTGAGGAAATGTATCCATACAGAAAATCTAAAACAAAAGTATATTCATGAGCCAAAATAGTTCAGCACTAAAGTGACTAGCACAAAAGATCAGGAAATGATTGGTTAGGTGCCCACCATATTTACATTTGTTCATTAAAAGTGGCTGACTATAAGCAGGACAAACCTGGGCTCAGTTCCTGGTAAGGGTAAGGATTATTTTCTTTGCCACCATGTCTATACCAGCTCTTGGGCCCTTCTAGCCTCCTGTCTAATGGCTATTTCATTGTAAATAACCTAGAACTTTTACAAACAAATTCATCTATACACAGTGTTAACACATGAAATAAGTACCATCTTCATAGACCAATTGCCAGCCTATTCATGTTTTCAGAAAGGTGCTCACTGTGCTAGAATGAAAATCTTCAATAGTCTCCCACCTAGCCTCAAAACTATTTTGGATGAAAAGAAGACACTTAATGTATCATTAAAAAGATGTCTAAATGCACACATCTTGTATTTCGTTGATGAATTTCTGCTGTTAAAAGAGGATTCATAATCCTTTTATGTGTTCGATTTGAGGTTTTCATGGTGGTGAGTCTAAAAATGGCTGTCTTCTGGGTTGTTATCACTCTGATGATGGAGGCAGCAAGGACCTCTGAAACACTGGTAAACTTATACCAGATTACATGGCGCTACAACCCAGAAGACAGCCATCTTCTTTTACGGGTTATTGTACTTACATAGTCTGCTGTATAACAGTGGATTTAGTTTAATATTTTTATGCTAAACCTTTATTATTGTGAAACAAATTAATGTTTCAAATTGAGCTTATTTGTATGTTTTGTGCTTTATGATTTATTCCACATCATATAGTCAGTCTAACTTTTGGTTCCATGGAGTGTATACATGTATGTACATACCAGGGATAAAGCTGCCTTGAGCTGATTATTCCCAGTGAATGTCAAGTTTAAGAGTGCATTACCTCCACTCCCACTGTATGCGTTCATGACATGGTACTTAGACACAAGGACAACTGACCCCTCACATAATATCTATGCAAATGATGCAAACCATCTGTTGGCTTACTACAGTGATGTGGATGTTAAGATAAGTCCTTAGCTTTTGTGTTCTTTTGCCAATTTTCTCCAAAGCTAAATTTGTATTCTAAATTTGCCTTTGGTCAGTAGTCTTCCCTCTGCATGGTATTCCAGAAACATTCCAGATCCTTTTGGGGCCATGTTTCATTGAGGAAAGTAGAGAGCCTAAATCCCATTTATCAGTGTGTCAGAGCCCACACGGGCACATTTTGAGAGTCACAACAAAAGCATATTGTTGAAAATCTCAAGAAAGGATATGATGACTTTTAGCAATGTCCCATGCTTCTATTATCACACTAGTTCAGCTACTGGACATGTAGAGCAGATGACATGTATGATATGGTAGTTGGAATAAAAATTCTCCCAGATGAAAGCCAGCTTCTTTCTTCACTTCTTCTAATGCTGACCAATTTCTATCAGACTGCATGATATAATACCCTAGACAGCCATCCTCAAGATTTATGATATTAATCATGTGTTATGAATGGGAGGGGGAATAGTCAAGTAAGTTGATGTAAAGTTAACATTGACACTGACTGAGCTCTTGGCATTGTCTGCTACCATGTATAACTTCAGCTTTTGGGTGAAAGCTGCATCAAATGTTTGGTATTGACCAATGTTTCAGCAAACATTACAGTTGCCATTTTCAAGGTGGGGCCAGTTTTGAAGGTGTCATATAGGGCAGGCAGTGGGTGGTGAGATAAATTCAGTGGTGCTTATTGGTGCAGCGGAGGAGCTGGCTATTATGCAATAGGACAGGAGCACATCATTGAGGAAAGGAGATGATAGAATTTTTGGTAGTTACAAGGAGGTTCTGGTGACCATGGGTGGAAAAGGAATTGCAGCGATTAAGTGGAAAAGAGTGATGGCTGTCCATCGATCATTTGGCACAGAGAGGTGATGGTGGATCTGCACTTTTGGGGGTCAGTGGTTCAGGGGGAAATGGGAAGCCGAGCTTTGTTTAGCCTGCAGCCATATTCACAGATCAAATTATGTGGGCACTTCGCTATCTCTACTCCATGATTATGTGGGGATGGCAACTACCGATGTTGGCAATGACTTCTGTTTTGTCAAAGTCAATGCTGTGTCTGGAGGTTGTAAAATAATCGGCTACTGGTGATCGCTGGTTCTCAAGTCTTGTGACGCTTTTGCATTCCACAACCCTACTGGAGATATGATGGCCGGTTTGTCCGATGTACACCTTGCCACAGGAGTATGGGATCTTTTTAGTCAGTTTGGTCTGTCACTCTGAGGGAGGAACATTGATTGCAGGTGTTTGAGAATAGGGTGTTGAGGATATTTTGGCCTAGGAGAGAAGATGATGGGGTCTGGAGAAAAGTACATAATGACGAACTTAAAAATTTGTACTCCTCCCCCAATATTGTCAGGGTGATTAAGTCGAGAAGAATGAGATGGGTGGGGCATGTAGCGTGCATGAATGGGACTAGAGGTGTGCACCAGGTATTGGTTGGGAAGCCTGAGGGGAAGAGACCGCTGGGGAGACCTAGACGTAGATGGGAGGATAATGTCAGGTGGGATCTATGAGAGATAGGTCTTGAAGGAGACTGGATTTCGTTGGCCCAGGACAGGGTCCGGTGGAGGGCTTTGGTTAATTCGGTGATGAACCTTCGGGTTCGGTAAGCCATCTAGTTAGTTAGTTCACTTATCTTAACATTATTAGTTCATGTTTTTGTCAGAAGCAGGACTAGCTTTGAATTTTTGGTGATTCTATCCGGGTTATACGATACCCAAGGAGGTAAACGGGTCACAAAATGTTCTCGGGTACATTAGTTAATACATTCCCAACAGATGGCGCGGCAAATCTTTACATTAGTTCATGCCCTCGCCAAAACGTGGCGCGGCAGTTCATTTATGTGCATTAGATGTGGCGCGGCAGTTCACCTATCTTCACATTAGTTCATGTCCTCGTCTCTACATGGCGCGGCAATTCACTTTTCTATACAATAGTTCATTTCCTTGCTAATATATGGCGTGGCAGTTCATTTATCTTCCATAACCAACCAAATTCCTTTGGACAACTTGCCTGACGGGATGACCTCCCATCAGCAGCAACAGATCCCAGTTTGAATGGTCGAGGCCCCCGCCACGACGTAACCCTGTTAGCGTCAGCAAAATTTCCGTTTTTTATATTAAGACCGTTTACCATTTCCAGCAATGCGCCTTGTGCACAGGAATGGTTTCACCTAGGAAGGGACGATGCTTGCGCTAGCGCAGGCCTCCGCCCTTAGTTAGCTTTTTGGTTGGTTGGTTATCTTCCATGTACGGTAGCTGTCTCCTCGTACTTCAGCATGGCGCGTCCTCAGGTTGCTGATAGAGGGAAGGCCTCCAGGTATGGAGGTTAGCCGCGAATATATTGAATAAGCGGTCGTGGAAAATGTCAAAAACTGCATCAAAATTTCAGCCAAAGACAAACTAGGATACTACAGGAGAAAGCAAAATAAACCATGGTTTGATGAAGAATGTTCAAAATTAAGAGATCGAAGGAAGAAAATAAAATTGTAAGATTTGAATTAATAAACTTTTAAAAATGTATTTATTACAACAATTATATGATAATTATACTGAACTGTTCATGGTTAATAAAACTAATATAGCCAGTAAAAAAACCCGTTGGTTTACATGCCATGCCACGCCGCGTACGTTACGTATCGTATACGATAAACCATAACGAATATATACATTATAATAAAACGTATTGTATAGACCATTCGATGTTTAGTACATGGTTTTAATGCTTTAAAATGGCCGCTAACGTATACGATACGTATCGTAGAAGCTCAGGAATGCAAGATAGACATTGCGAACAATGTCTTGGAACGGAACTCGTTCATAAACCGAGAGTTGTCTGTAATTCACCACGCTCTTTGCCAGCTTACCATAACTGTCGCCAACATGTTAACATGGGCTTGGATTGAGAGGTTGCTTTGACGCGCGTTGGGTAGGTTGATTTTTGGATAAGCTTCGATCGTTTTCATAGAAGACTCTTTTATAATTTCCGTTATTATGATATTATGTTCCGTTAAATATTCTGATATTGATGTACGATAACAAACATGGTTTTCAGTGGTTTTTGCATCTTTGGTCGAATTTATTGTTTTGCGTTTTTAAAGAATTGGGGGTTTTCATTACCTGAGTTGTAGCTTCGTTTGTCGTTGACAGCAATGTTTTCTGTTATCACTGAGATTTTATAAACTGCGCATAAAAAACTATAAATTTTGATTTCAGTTTCGTGTAAAGTATATACTGGACCAACATGAACCACAGTTAAGTTTGCCCAGAGCCTTTGACCACGATCTCAAATTCGTCAACATGTGTTGTGTAATGATCAAGAGGAAACGTTAGGCAGGTATTTCCTCCCGATTATATGTTCATTACTTCATTCGAAGAACTCTTACAGATGTTATAAATTTGCTTACAAGAACGCAAGGAGTGTAAAGTGTTCCAGATACGGACTTGGTGATATTGTGCCCTCATTTGACTTGTTATTTACTTGTTGCAGAACTACGGTACTCATTCAAATGTTTACATATTCTACTGTTTTTATTTCTTATTATAACAGTGTTGTATGCATGTATGTTAGGTCTTTACTGAATAACATAATAAGAGGGCACATAACCGCGTAACTGACACTTGAGTTTTAAAAAAAGTAGAATTTCTTCTTTCTTATTACTAAATCCACGTTCTAGAGATAGCATCACATCTGTTCTCATTTACGACTGTGTTATTGTATGGTGATAATTTTTGTAAATACCATATACACTGCTTCATCCATTATATAAATGACTAGCAATCTCAGTAGACAGAAAGGAGAGATGGAAGGAAAGTCAGAAGGCAAATTTTATATAATGTATATTGTCTGTTGTTAACAGAACTAATCATATTTTGTACCACAAAACAGGTAATTACAGTTTTATCACCATGTCTGAAAGCATGAAGAGGTCACATGATGGTGATAGTGATGATTCTTCAGATGGATGGATTGGACCTATGCCTTCAGAAGCAGAAAAACCAAAGAAGCGTAAATGTGAGTCACTGCTGAAAAATGAAAATACTTTTTTATTTTAATGACTGTAATCTTAAAACTTTGCATACCATGTAGTGTATTAGAATATAAATAAGCACACAAACAACTATTAACACTATAAAAAAGACACTATTGCCATACGCGTTTCAACCTCAAAATGTCATCATCAGTGGCTTCAGAGAAATCAATTCATTTAATTAAATGGCTCAAACCTGATTTAGAAAAGTAAATAATGAATAGGACATTTGACGAAAAGTATTTTAAGCGACACTGCACTAAATGTTATCAAGTTTGAGCCATTTAATTAAATGAATTGATTTCCCTGATGATGACCTTTTGAGGTTGAAACACGTATGGCAATAGTGTCTTTTTTATAGTGTTTATAGTTGTTTGTGTGCTTATTTATATTTTAATGACTGTATTGAATTCAATTCCAATACAGGTTATACTTCATTTGCAATTATTTCATTTGTGTGTGCTTGTGAAGTAAACAGTAAATTAACAAGGTTGCCAAGGTAACTGAATGGAAAAGAAAGAGATTTTACAGTATGGGATCTGTGAAGGTGGAGTTTTATTACAAACTATTTTGTCTCATTTCACCTTGCCACTTCATACACCCAACACAGACCTTTGACTCTTCTATCATGTAAGGATAGGAACCCACTGGTGTGGCGTGTCGAGTGTTGTCGCGCGCGGCTGTTATTTGTATTGCTTTTTATAGGTGCGAAACCCACTGACGCAGCGCAGCAACACTCGACACGCCGCACATGGCTAGTCGCGCCAGTGGGTCCCTAGCCTAAGAGGTGAAACATGCTGTCGCCTGTTGCTAGTGCTTTGTGGAACTCTTTTTCACCTGTCTGCAGTACATGCCTCATCATACAGACAGTTCATTTGTTCCAGAGTTCAACAGGTTTTGTTGTTTAAATTTGCCAATCCTTCATATCCATTAGGAAGGAGGAATTCATGACATATACCTTCAGACTGGTCACACTTGCCTTTTTTGCATGGGGAATTGGCACATGTTTGTACAGACTGTGGAATACCCGCTTACCCTTTTACACATTGTGGTGCAGTGCCCATGTTATGATTCTCATCTCTCACTTTATTTTAACATGTTCCTCAGCTACCTTGGAGATGCCTGCTGTGGCATATCCATTGTTATGGCATTCATTAATGATGCAAGGCTCGTCAAGTGTCTTTGAAAGACAGTATCTTAGACTCTTTTATATTTTAATTATTCCATTTAGGGCATCAATGACGAGGCTTATATACAGCTGGGCATAGTTCTATCACTTTTTTAATGCTCAGTTTCTTTGTAATTGTTTTAATGTGTTATCCTGCATGTTGTCAGACCTGCTTACAGCAGAACATATCTATCACTTTCTGACATAATGTTAGTAATGTATTTCAATTCAATTAATATATAGTATGATAAGTAATTCTTAAGTTTTATTCTATTTACCATCATGTCCTTTACAATCTGGCATGAATGTTCTATTTTGCCATTTGCAGGAATATATTAAGTATGAAATTGGATTTTATACAGGCACAAATAGCCTTAGATGCTGACTTGCTTCTAAACCAACAAAGAAGAATGCAGGTCAGAATCATTTTGATGCTATCTAATAAATTCTTTGAAACGTGACAAACATTAAAGTGTTTTTGAACAATTGTAACAAATGAGAATTACAGTTGCAAAGAAATTAAGAGCAGGTTACATTTTTGGAATAGTTGTCACCATTTGATTCAAAATCTTTTGACTTCCCATATAACTATAACTGTAAAGATTAGGATGTATAAAAATATAAGGTGCTGAGGAGAATTTTTTATTATTAGAGTGATAAAATCAATGATCAAGGAAGATGAGGGTAGGGCATGTGTCTGAATGGGAGACACAAGAAATGCAAACAGAATTTTAGGTGGAGAGCCTGAAAGGAAAATACCACTTAGGAGATACAGGCATAGCTGGCATTATAATATTACAATTATTCATAGAATAATTGTAGGATTTGAGGTTTTCACAGAGGTGAGTCCAAAATGTGCCATTGTTTGTGAACATAGTAATGAAATTTTGGGCTCCATAAAGGCAGATAATTTCTTGCTTTGCTTCTCAAGAAGTACTCAGCTGTATGGAATTGATGTAGTTTGTTGTGACAGTATAAATTATAAGATTTGTTATATGATTTCATATATATCAGTACAGTCCCACGCCGTAGCCGCGCGGTCTGAGGCATCATGCTTCGGACCAGCGATACGGAATGCGCACTGGTTCGAGTCTCGGTGAAGAAGAAATTTTCTAATAAGCTTTCGACCAGTGTATGGGACCGGTGCCAACCCAGCATCGTGAGGAAATTGGGGAGCTACAGTGGGTAGCATAATCCGGTCAGGAAAACTAGCAATGGCTGGGGGTTCGTCGTGCTGACCACACGTCACCCTATATCTGGTTGGATGATCGTTCACCTCTGCTTAGACATGTGAATGTGAGGCCAGCAGTCACGCTAGTCTGCTTTGGCTCTCTGCAGCTGTTATGCCACGGATTTATTTATTTATTTATATCTTAGTATATTAAAATATAATTTTAACATACATTTTCTATATCTACTGAAGAACGATGAAAAGACATTTCATTGTTCATATTTTCTTTGTTACAGACTTGAAACATGAACAGCTATATTTGGATAATTTACCAAGTGCAGAATCGTATGAGAGAAGTTACATGCACCGAGATGTAATCACACATATTGTTGTTACTAAGTATGTTTTTAAATGTTAACAAGTGTATTGTTATATAAAACTGCTATGTGAATTGTTCAAAGTCTTTGAATTTCTGACACCATTCTGTGTTGTAATCGGTAACAGAGAGGTGTGAGCACTCTTTAGTAGGATATGAGGTTTTCATGGGGCTGAGTATGGTAGAAGTTTACCAACATTTCAGAGGCCCATGCTACCTCCATCATCAGGGCATTGAGTAAGCCATATGCATGGACACAGTTTAAGTTGTGGAAGACTGACAGGCAAGGAAAGCCTTGGCCCTCTTTTGTAGGAAGTATCAGGAGGATGGAAAAAGTAACATAATGCGGTGTTTCATAATTTGTAATCTTGAACAGAATTAGGGTAATCAAATTGGGGAGGCTAAGATGGGTGTGACATAGTAAAAAGAAATTAAAAATACATAGAATATTTTGTGTGGAAAACTGGCTTCTGATAGGATCCAGTGATATGTTGTTGTGAACACAGTAATTAATCTTCAGGTTCCATGGAAGACAAGAAGTTTCTTGGCCAGCTGAGCAGCTATCAGTTCCTCAAGAAGTTCTCTGCGCCATGATGTTACTAATGTTGCAAGTTTTAAAAAAAAATCCTAGGCTATCTGAACATGTAAAGATTAAATTACAGTATACAAACTTATAATTTTACCTGTTTTTGAATGGGTGTAATCTTGGTCTCTTGCCTTCAGCGAAAAATATAGATTTAGGTTGTCTGAGAACAGGGTTCTGAAGTGAATATTTAGACACACAAGGGATGAAGAGGCAGGAGACTGGAGAAAATTGCATAAAATTTTACTATTTACCAGATAATATTAGCATAAAATGAAGATGTATTTGGCATGACATATAGCATGAATTGTGGTCTGGATTGATCAGAGCCTTCAGGTTCCATAAAAGGTTGGTAATTTCCTGACCATCTGGGTGACTTTCTGCTTCTCAAGAAAAATTCTGCTAAATGAAGTTAATTAATTACTAGATTGGTAATTAAGTTCATTTATTGATGTCAGTAGTTGATGGTGCAACAGACAAATTGTCTGATATGTGATCTACATGATGTTGACCAAAGTAGGCACTTGGGCTGTGATGCATTTACTTTAACTCTTGCTGTGAGAACAGTATTGTATGCATATGTTATATATGAATACTGTTGTAACAAAAAGAATTGCTTTTAGCACTTCCACCGACCTTCACTCTCTATTGGTATACAAATTTTCAGAAAGCAGCCAATTAATTTCCACCATGATGCAGTAAAGACAGGTATTTTGTCGGACTATAAAACTGAAAAGATTAAATATTACGTATGTCTTTTTCTTTCAAAGACTTTTCTGAAGTTATATGTTTGGAGCACAGCGCTATACGGAAGCGAAACATGGTCAGTGGGAAAGCCAGAAAGAAGATGGATAGAAGCATTTGAAATGTGGTGCTATAAAAGGATGCTGAAAATTAAGTGGACCGATAAAGTACGAAATGAGCTGGTCTTAGACAGGATAGGTGAAGGAAGAGGTCTATGGAAAAATCTTACGAGAAGAAGAGATAGGATGGTGGGACACATTCTGAGGCACCCAGGATTAGTTAATTTGGTAATGGAAGGAACAGTTGAAGGGAAAAATTGTAGGGGGAGACAAAGATTGGAATATGTGACGCAGATTTTTGAGGATGTGGGTTGAAAAAAATATGTGGAAATGAAGAGATTGGCGCAAGATAGGCAAAAATGGGGGACCACATCAAACCAGTCGAAAGACTGATGACAAACAAAAAAAATATCTTTTTCAATTGCAGCACATTTTGAATCCCCCCCCCCACACACACACACGCACACACTCGCTGTCTCTACTATCTTTCTTGCTGTATGACCACATGTTACTATTTGCACTTAAAATTGTTAATAAATGACTCATCACTTTGTGTAATGTGCCATCTTATTATTTTTCACCTACAGAACTGACTTCATAATCACAGGTAGTTGTGATGGTCACATAAAATTCTGGAAGAAGCTACAGGAGCTGATAGAATTTGTGAAACACTTCCGTAGCCATCTTGGACCAATACAAGATCTTGCAGCCAACTCAGGTGGATCATTACTTTGCTCAGTCTCCAGTGACAAATCACTTAAAATATTTGATATCATCAATTTTGGTAAGTTTGTTTTCATGTAAAATGTATACTCTACTGGGATGTAAAACCTGTAAAAATTCTATTTTTTGTAAGTTTGCTTGCATGCAAAATTTATGATGGAATTCAAAACCTTGAAAAGTCCCAACTGTTGGTCATGTTGCTACTCATAAATTCCTGAAGTCCTCAGATTGGTGAGAGTACAGATCTTGTAATTTCTTTTGCATTATGTTTGTCTTTCGTTAGCAGCTGGATAGAACTTGACACCCATTGTTCTTCACCATGCTTCAGTCCATATGATCAAGACTGCCACGAGCTATAAATTAACAATTACACAATTCAGTGAATCACTCCTATATAGCTGGTGCAAGTTCTGTTTACTACTGGAGAAAAGGCAAACTTATAGGTTATGTTGATTGCCTGCTTACCCAGTAGAGCTGTAATAATAAGAAATTCATGATATTGCAGATGAATATGTATAAAATATGTCTAGCAATTCTGTTATTCAGCTCTTTCAGTGATAGGAACATACCACAGGTGATGATGTGAGTATGTGATGCTTCAGTATAAATAATATTGTAAATACACAGTAACGTAAACACGTTTTCATCATCTGATGATTTTATACATGTAACTGTGTGTGAGAAAACTTATTCTGTACAGTTCACTGAATATTGAAGGTAGTAACAAAGTGCTGTATCCTCATGGTAGTCTTATCCATTCTAATTGAGGGTTTTATTTTAACAGTCTGATAATTGACATTATTTAGAGACCTTATGACATTGCTGAAACAAATGCTTCACATAATAAACACGTTGATTTTTATTATAGTTTCTGAATATGTTTCAGATATGATAAATATGATGAAACTGGAGTATGTACCAGTTTGCTGTGAATGGATCCATTGTCCAGGAGATGCAATTGCAGCCTTAGCAGTGTGAGTTTGTACTGTATTGTAGTCTAGGCGCCGAAAGACTGTGCACCTAAATCTCTTTCCTCAAAGGATCCTAAATTAATGTATGGTTTACAAGGACACTGTGACAGCATTTATTACCACAGCTGCTTGCACACGTGTATTCATTTTTACATTGTTTTTCCACATAATCACCTCTCCCGTTGAAGCTTGGTCCACTGCCCATAATTAGATCATAACTACAGTATCTGAATAAAAATTTCCTTGGATATTTTCCATCGTCTAAGAAATAAAATAGAAAAACGACGTTTCGGAGATGGGGCTCTATCTCCGTCTTCAGGTACCTACTCAGTTGGGCCCAATAAATAGAGCTAATCCCTATCTCCGGACGAAAATAGCCAAGGAAACTTTTATTCAAATGACTCACCATCGTCACTAACTTTTAGATTTGATATACCACAGTATCACCATTTACAAACCACTGCCCTGATAAATGTTGTTTGAGGAGCCCAAAGAGATGAAAGTCTGTGGGTGCCAAGTTCAAACTTTGTGCAGGATGCTACATCACCTCTGTATTCCCATCTGCATATCTGGAACTATAGTTGAGTCTACCTGACTGTGTATGGTTTTGCATTGCCATGGACCATGATCACACCATCTAATATATTTCCTTGACTTATAATGGCAGTAAGCTCATGGCAAATTTGCGTTGACGTGTTAACCCTTTGCATACAGAAAACAATCACCCTTCTCATCTCTATATTTGTGCTTCTTACTGGTTTTGCTGCCATTTTGTTTTGGATGTCATGTGTGCTTGCGTAGAACAGGCACACTTCTGAGCTATTTTGAGATAGAGGTAAAGTTCAGTTTGAACTTTTATGTGAAGTAGGATACTTAATTTTCTGTGTTTTACTTGATGTCATCAGTGTGTCTTGTTTTGATGGTTTATTTAATAATGTTGCTTATCTATTGAAATTTTATTGTAGTATTGACAGTATTGGTAATGGAAGACTTTATGTAATCAGTTTGATTCATTTTGATTTCCTAAATAGATCTGATGCAGATACAAACAAGGTGTATGTATATGATGGACATGGAACAAATACCCACCTGCATATCTTTGAGAAACTTCATACAAAACCAGTGGTTATTATTAAGGTAAATGAGAATTTGGTTTGAAAGTATACAGATATTGACTGTCTTATTATTTTTTTATATGAATGTCTAGATTATATCTTACAACTCCAGTGGAACAGTGTAAAATGTAAATAAACATAGTAACCTGCAGTGCATGACCTCAGAGAACTAAGAAGTATCTTGATTTTTGCTTTCCTGAACGTATGTTGCATGTTCATCGTAGAATTATCTCAAACTCTGATATTCTGTTAGTAGAGTAATAAATCACGGTATAGCAGTTAAGGCTCCTCTGCATATTTGGAAGATTTTATTAGGAGTAAGTAAGGAAGGGGTGAAGTATTGTGTTACTCCAGTTCAAAAGCCATCAATTCCAAGTACAGACAGCCTGGGTTGTCCGGTTAGTGCATAAACTGCATGTATTGTTTGGTGTATATAAACTGCTGTAGAGTTATTACAAACAGCTTGGAGCCAGGTATGTAATATCTTCAATATTGGTAGTGACAGTGATAGTCAAAATGACAGTGAGGTCAGCACTTCTGGTGAAGTTTCAGACTGAAGAGGTCTTACATCCGTCAGAGAATGAACAGGTAAATGTGTATTGCATTGATTGTATTCATACAGTTCAACCTACGAGGTCTGTCCAAAAATGATTCGACTATATTTTTTCCCGCGATAAGTAATGGCGAAAGGGTGGGGAAGCTGAGCGTAGTGGTAGAAGGGACTTTCATGCGCATGCGTGATTTTTTGCTTCCTCGCAGCACCACCGGATGTGTCCGTCACTGCCAGATAGCTAAGTGGTGTAACACGTGTTTGTTGCATTCTCGTATAGCTCAAGATGACGGAACGCTTGGAGCAGTGATACTGCGTCAAGTTTTGTTAGAAACTTGGGGATACACAAGCGGAAACGATCAGCAAAATTCAGCAGGCTTTCGGCGATGATGCAATGGGGTTACTCAAATTAAAGAGTGGTTCAACCGCTTTAAAAATGGCCGCATGTCGGCGGACAGTGACCAGCATTCCGGGAGACCATCAACGAGCTGAAATTCTGATGTCATTGACAAAGTGCGGACATTGATCATGGAGGACCGTCGTTTGACCGTCCGGGAAATTGCTGATGAGGTTGGGATCAGCAGAGGTTCCGCAAACACGATTTTAACTGAGGATTTGGGCATGCAAAGAGTGGCGGCAAACTTTGTGCCCAAGCTGCTTTCACCGGAGCAGAAAGAACTCCACCTTGAGGTCGCGCAGGACATGCTGGAGTGCGCCAACAGGGATCCTGAGTTCCTGAAGACTGTGATCACTGATGACGAGTTGTGGGTGTACGGATATGACCCGGAAACCAAGGTCCAGTCGTCACAATGGAAACATCCAACATCCCCGAGGCCCAAAAAACCACGATGGGTTCGGAGCAATGTGAAGGTGATACTGACTGTTTTTTTTTTTTTGATTACTGGGGTGTTGTGCATCATGAGTATGCGCCACTAGGCCAAACTGTCAATAAGGAGTACTACCAAGAAGTCCTCCGTCATCTTCGTGATGCAGTTTGGCGCAAGAGACCAGAGCTGTGGGACGCACGCAACTGGCAGCTGCATCATGACAATGCCCCAGCTCATTCATCACATCTGATCCAGGGTTTCCTGGCCAAGCACGGCATTCCGCAGGTTTGCCAGGCTCCCTACTCTCCTGACATGGCTCGTTGTGATTTCTGGCTGTTCCTGAGAATGAAGACACTGCTAAAAGGCTCCTGTTTTGACAGCCGCGAGGACATCATACAGAATGCGACAGCGCAGCTGCACACCATTCCAAAACAAGCCTTCCAGAATTGCTTCCAGCAATGGAAGTACCGCTGGGCTAAGTGTGTCGAGTCACAAGGGGCCTACTTTGAAGGGGGTTAGGTATTGTAACCCCCCAGATACAGAACTTTGTTTTCCTGGTCCAAGGTCGGATACTTTTTGGGCAGACCTCGTATAGTCAACCTTGTCACACTCATCCTTCATCACCCTACTTTTTCCAGAGACTCACTTACCAGTCCTGCACAGTAGTTGAGAAAGTGGAAGTAAAATGAATTAATAAACAAACAAGTGAGTGGGTTGTTGAACCATTTGAGTAAGTTAAACTTAGGTACATTTTTGTTATAGTATGTAAAATTATAGAATGCTTCTGTTGTGTCCTTGGTATGAATATGAAATTCTGAAGCAGACATGGCGATGGAAAAGACTGGAAAGATAGTCTTTGTGTTCCCCAGTCAGTCACAACCTGGGAATCGTAAATTGTTTATGATAAGTTTAGAATTCCACATCTGACAAGGTTGGTAGAGGGTACTGAAATCTGTAAGTATTGATAGGTTTGGCTTTTTCTGTGTAAGTTTTACTTAAAATTTCTTGTTATATGCAGAATTTTGATATAGTGATCTTATGCTTTGTTTTCTATATGTTTTTACAGTACAATCCTGTGTTTGAGGTGGCGCTGTCTGTTGATCGGGCTGGTATACTGGAATATTGGACAGGACCAAAAACTGAATATAAGTTTCCCAGATGTGTGTTGTTTGAGTCAAAACTTGACACTGATCTGTTTGAGTTTGCCAAAAGTAAAACATTTCCTACTGGGCTAAGTTTCTCACCAAATGGAACAAAATTTGCAACGCTCTCAGGTGATAGAAAGGTAGTTTATAGTTTAAAAATTTATCTTGCTTTGACATAAGGAAGAATCACGTTTTCTTTATATCTTGTGTAATTTTTCAGTGAGCTTTACATAACTGTGAGTGCATTGTATTTAATAGATGCCTAGGTAAGTGGTGTGAATATATTTCATGTGCTTGCTGTCAGTTCTGTATGGTATTTAAGCATGACTGCTTTCATACTTTGCTGTTTAATTTGGATCAGTAGTGAGTGTGCCAGTTGGCCAAGTGGTCCAGATTATATGAAATACAATTAATTTGTGGTATTTCACAGATTGCATTGAAGGAAGCAAAAAAATGGAAAGCATTATTTAGATCAGGGGTTCTCAACCTTTTTCACTGGCGTACCACTAATTCTAATTTAACACATTAAATGAACCATTAACCAAATGCGTTCAGGGAAAACTATTTTTAATGTTAATATTAACTTTTGATTTTCTTACTTAGTTCTCGTACCAATCAACATTGACTCACATACCACCAGTGGTACGTGTACCATATGTTGAGAAATGCTGATTTAGAGGATATGCCAAGATTGTTGGCAGTAGTGAGAGATAGACGTTTTTAAAGATAGCTGATAAGGAGTGGTTTTCAGGTTTTATGAAATGTCATTCTAAATTGAGTATGCAGCAGACAGAACCCGCATTTTTAGTTAGAGCCTCTAGGTTAAGTAAGGTTGTTCACAAGTGTGTGTGTGTGTTGTGTTGTTGGTTTTTGTTTTTGTTAATTATTATTATTATTAATGTTTGCCTGAGCATATTGTTGATGAAAACAGAATTTTAGCTTCAGGAATATTCAGCATGTTGAAACATGTATAAAGTGAAGCTTTAACAGCGACTGAAGTTGATGAAAGACTCCCAGGTTACAAGCCGTGTCAGGTGGCTGAATGGTGAGTAAACCATATCTTCTGCCTAATATATGGTTTATTCACCATTCAGCCACTTGACGTGGCTTGTAACCCAAGAGTCTTTCATCAGTGTTGAAACGTGTTATACAGTTGCACACAAAAAACATAATAGCCCAAGAAGGAAAACATCAAGTTGAAGCAATCACATTTTGTGAAAAATAGCAAAATGTGACAGACGGGTGTTATGCAGTGAGTGTCATTGGATTGTGTGTCACTCCAGTGTGCTTATTTATCCTAGAACAGAATGAAGAATAGGCAGAAGGAGGGGTGTTCCTGTTATTAGTCAGCTGCAATTGAAGTTGCATGTTGTTTCGATCTCATTGCACTCATAGAGTGCAGCCCCTTGATGTGTCATTCTTCAAACATTTTAGCATATACATTGGTTTCTGCATTTGCAACAAAATTTAAAAAGAAAACTGGGCAGTAAATGTTACTCTGGGCCAACCATTTTTTCATAGTCAATAGGGTTTACCCTTTGCTTCACAAAAACTGGTTTTTGGTGTGACTTGACATTGTAATAGTATATACTTTTCCATCAAATTTTGATCCTGAAATAAGAGTTCGGTTTCAGGATGTGTAGGTAGATAGTCTGTTCCATATATTCAACCAAGCAGTCATGTCCAGTGTATAGCATGACAAGTATTTAACATGTAATAATTTTAAATACAACAAAATTCTGTGACGATGATTTTCTGAAAAATATGCCATGTATAGTATGTGAGGTTAGTCGTGAAACTGGTCATGCAGGTTAGTGATGATAAGGGGGAATATACGGCCATGTAGACTTAGCTGTCAGTGGCGTCTCACACTTGTGCTGTGGGATGTTTTAGCATGTCCCAGGCCAGTTTCAACACTCACCTCATGTATGGCAGAGTAATATTAAAATGTATTATAAAGAAATAGGATGTGTGAGTGTTGGCTGGATTCAACTAGCACAGAATAGGATCTGGTAGTGGGCTGTTATGAACACAACCTTCAGGTTCCTTGAAAGATGGGGAATTTCTTGATCAGCTGAGCAACTGAAGAAAGACTGTTTTGCATGAAGTTACTTAATAAAATAAATGAGGATAGAATCATGAAAATTGCAGAGTATTAAACAATGGAGCATTTCCAAATAAATGTCAGTATTGAATATAATGCACCATCATTAGAATTATTTAGTGTTATATCACTGTTAAGTTTTCAAAGCTTCAAAGAAGCATGAAAATGTTGAAATTTAAGTAATGGACTTGTTGACTCAGTTAATTGAATTTTTTATGTTACAGGTTAGGGTGTTCAATTTTCAGACTGGAAAATTAAGTAGAGTGTTTGATGAATCTCTGCAGAGATTTTCTGAGCTTCAGCAAGTCACATTACAGTTGCCTAATATGGAATTTGGAAGGAGGTAAGCAAATGGAGGAGATCAATGCACAAGATTCAGTCTGTTCTTGTATTGCAGAATCTTCACAAAAGAGCTGCTTAAACCTGATGAATTAGCATATGTTACAAATAGTAATATGGATCATGCTTGGAGATTGTACATATTATATTCTTCCACCTCGCCTGCTTTGCTGATTAACCACATAACTTCCACAACCCCATCCATATGTATTGATTATGGCTTCCTGTAATGATTTGTGTGTTGCCCATTCCATCCGTTTCATTAATGCTCTACAGTAATTAGTGTTAGACTACATCTTACCCCTGTTTCAGCTTCCTCTGTTTTATTATTTATTGCTTTCCTTGTTGGACCTACTACTACTGAAAAATATTTGCTTGCCTTTGTTAGAAGGACTAGTAGCATGACCAGTATATTCTACAGTCTGCGGTGTGGTAGGCCTGCAGGTCTCAACTTTACAAAGTGTCCATTAATTTCCATATCATACTTTAGTTAAACTAAATTAAAAATTGTTATAGACATATTTAATTTAAATTTTAGTACTAGCATATTTCTTAGCCTTTCACATTTAGTTTAAATTTTATGGTGCAATTTTCTTTGTATTTCTTTCTCTTGAATTTAGTTGGTACAGTGTTATTTAACCCAATGAATTTAGTTAACAAAAATGTTGGAAAAATGTATGCTCATCTTTTTGTTCAAGTGTGTGTTTTAAATGTGTTTTGTAAGTAATATAAATGCAATAAAGTTTTGGGACAGTGGGGAAACAGGGTGAATCTATAACAAGAAAAAGCAAAAAAATACTTTACTTTTTACAAATAAATAATTTATTCCATGAAAATGTACTTCATCTATTTATTTACTTTCATGCCATTATTTTCTATAAATCATGTTCTATCATGATTAGAAAGGTTCCGTAGTTAAAGGACTTTTGAAATATTTATGTGTCTTTTTGAGAAATAATTTTATATTGTCTCTTGCTGCAGTATTCCTACAGTAATTGTGTGACTTATTTAATCCAATTGTGTCCAGGATGGCTGCAGAGCGTGACCTTGAAAAATCTGAGGCCGTTAATCTTGGAAATATAATCTTTGATGAGAGTGGTTATTTTGTGTTGTATACCACCATGTTGGGTATAAAAGTGGTTAACTTATATACCAACAGATGTGTGAAAATTATTGGAAAACCTGAAAACTTGAGGCCTCTGAAATTGGCTTTATATCAGGTAAGTGTGAATATATTTTACATGTTGTGTTCATTGTGCATTCAACCCACCCACAGAGTAACTTGTATTTTCAAGTATGAACAAATTCTTACATTGTTATGTTTTTGGTACTTTCTCAATGAAAATTTGAAAAAATGTGCATGTTAGCTTTCTCCTGTTTGTCTGTCTAATGCAACAACACAAGAACTGGTGAATATTAAGAACAACTGCACACTTTCTGTACATGTTATAAGCATAATGCACACATGGCTCTGAATATTTATCAGATTGAAAAATGTTTTTCTTTCTTTCAATACACTCTTTATGTATTTGTATGGGCTTAAAAGTAATTACACTAATTTTTTGTTGTTACACAAGTTTCTCTTGAAGAAAAACTTTATTCTGTGCCTTTTTAAAAACATTCTTCCATAATTAATTTAGATAAATGAAATAAAGATAGATATTTCTAGGTATGTTGCTATTACAACCACACTGAAACACTGTGCAAGTTTGAACTAAGAAATTTATTTGCTGTTGGTTGCTTAAATCTGATGTTTCCTTTTAACAATTTTATGTTTTTACAAGTTTATTTTTTTCATAAGTGTGCTTTATACTTTCAGAGTGAATTTTATATTTAAATTACAATAATATCATGATAGTAGTGCTTGTAATGCTTTATTTATCTTTTTGAGATATCTGTTTAAAATTTTGGCTGAGAAATTCGTTGTCCTGGCTGTGACATCTTCAAAGTAACTAATTCCAAGCTACTGAGTCTTTCATGAAAAATGCTGGTCACTCATCTGGTCAAGCAATTCCTGCAGCTTAATTACAAGTACCATGTTCACAAAAGTCCACCATTGGAGATCCTTAACATTCGTAGTAATCTTTGATTTCACATTTCATGCAGTGTAACTTCTGCAGTTCATACTGTGTCTTTGAATAAACAATCATAGATAATCAGGTGAATACAATGTATTACCTTTTTCCAGATGTTGAGAGAGTGTCATTATTCATAAGCAGTAATTTTGAAATCATTCTCAGGGGCGTGCAAGGAAGTCTAAGGCAGCAGTTACAGTGGAAATGGAAGCTTCAGAAAATCCGACTTTAGATTCTGTACACTCAGATCCCACACTTTTCTGCACTGCATTCAAGAAGAACAGGTTCTATATGTTTACAAGGTATATCTGCTATTTCTATTGTTGCAGTCTAATTTTTATTATATTGCGAATTTATTTGTGATCCCTGTTTCAACTGCATCATGGGTAATTACAAACTTAACTGAATTCTTCTGCTTATCTCCCCTGCAGTCATTTTCATTCACTCCAAAAGTATATAAAGTTATTCACTTCTTGCACCACTACATCATGAATGTATCCTGTAAATACAGGTAAACCTCAATTTGCGCCGGTTCAGAATAACACCGCTTTTGAAACCATCAAGTCAAAAAGTGGGGGGGGGGG